AAATATATTGGAGTGCAAGAGGTGTGTGTTGAAATGAAGGAGAATGAGGGATTAAATAGGCTGAGGAAAATAAATCCGTTGGAGCAGGTTGAGAATATGCACCAGATAAAATTAATCGATTAAGGTAGAAGGTTAAATCGATTACGGTACACAGAAGCGAAAGGCCTGAAAAGAAAAACAGACCATAATCGATTAAATGAAGTCCATTAATCGATTAATAGGCTCTGTCCGAACTAATCGATTAATTGCTGAGAAATAATCGATTATTGTTCAAAAATGAGCAGCCCTTGAAAAGCTTAAAAATCGATTAAAAAGAAACAATAAATCGATTAGGAGGTTCTGTCCAAGCTAATTGATTTTTTTAATAGAAAAAATCGATTAAGAATTCAAACTTGAGAAATTGCGCTGGATCTAATCGATTATTTTAAAGGATATAATCGATTAAAATGAAAATAATGCGCAAACACAAAGGGCCCAAGCCAAGTGCGATTGGAAGCACTTTGGCTTCTAACTCGTTGTTTGAGACAACGAGAATAACAAGGCGCTCCTACGATTATATCTCCCTATTCAATGAATTTGAGTAGGGGGAGAAAAAAGGAGAGTCCCAAAAAATTATTTTGTGTGTCAAACAATACACGAAAAAATATTTAAAGTATATTTTTCTCACCAAAGAAAATTGTGTAATCTTTAAAATGTTTTAACGAAATTTTGACACACTAATTTTGGAACTGACTCACAAAAATATTTTAGACAGAGGAAAAGTGATATTTCAACTGACTCAAAAATAATTTTTTTTATCCCTCAGAAATTAAATTGTTTTGTGCAAAAGATATTGTCATCCTTACAAGAATCCTAGACTCAATAAAAATTAAAAAGTCTTCGGAGTCTTCACATCACTTCAAAAAATCTCGTAGGGGTGAGCGTTGAATTTTATCCCGTAACTTTCTTGATACACCTCTTTTCTTTTCTCGGTACGAAAAGTAAATTTTCGATCGTCGTTGAATTTCATCATCCTGTTTGTCATTTATCAAAACAAAAATATTCTAGAAAAATAATAAAGGGGTTTGAACTCATGTCCAACAACGAAATCCTATCAACGGCGTCCGGATGATGGATTTTGAAGGGCGCTCCCAAGAGATCGTGCATGACATTGAGTTCAGAGTTCTTGATCTTGGAGGGGCCGAGTTCTAGGTGAGCAATTTCAGTAGATTGAGCCATGATACGGGGGACCTTCGCAACGAATTGAAGAACTGGCGGAGAAAATTTGGGACGAATTAAGAACAGTTCAGATGCCTAAAATGGGTAGTGAGTTGGAGTGGGAATGAAAACGACACGACTTAGAGCAGAGGGTGGGAAATGCAATCGTTTCCTAACCAGCGCTCAGACCAAGGGCGGCACATTTGTAGTTCCTTAGCGACGTGTCGCTAAGAAACTAGGCGGCTTGTGATGGATATCCGGGCCCAAAGGATGCGAATGATCGGCCCAATCCGTAGGAGCGACTTGGGCCAGTACGGTAAAAAGGCCCAGATTCTCGTCAATTGGCCCAAACGTATAGCAAAGGTACCAAACGGCGCAAGGACATGGACATATTAAGGGATAAGATGGTGAACCACCACGATCAGTGTGCGAGAGATAATGACGAGATTTATGCGCACGATGATTGCCCATTATGTATGTAATTGTAAGTAGTATAAATAGAGGGAGAACCCTCCATTGTAAGGCAAGTGAAAACACTGGAATACATTTAGTAATAGAATTATTGTGAGATTTATCAATCATCATTATAATCTGTTCTTCGCCGCCATAGTTGTTGGGCTAATTCCCATCAATAAGATTGAGGATAACTTGAAGTTTATTTATAGCATTGAACAACTACTGCTGAAGTTTTAAAGCTTTTTTAAAATGGACGAAGTAATTGCTCATATTAATTAATACTCCAATTACTCTTAATTTAGATTCTATCCGTGCGATGCACGTCAAGTGTATTTCTCTATTTATTTAATTGAAGCTCAAAGTTTATCTAATTTGACTCGAAAAAGTCAAACTGGACAAATACACTGGAACGAAGGAAGTATGTTTTTCTAAAAAATACTACAAACATGATACGACCATGTGCTTTTTGTATTACAATTTTCAATTTTAAAATTAGGAACATTTTGTTATTTGTATATGATATAATGTATGAAGTTAATACTCTTGACGTGCATCGCACATGTAGAATCTAATCAGGACAAAGGGAGTAAGAGTTGATTACTCCCACTGTCTTTGAGTATTTATCCATTTTTTATCGAAACTAGTAAACTTTGATCTCAAATTTAATTATAGTGATATTAGATATTGATATAAAAATAATCATATTAGATTTATTATATAAAATATTTTCAAAATATTATTTTGTCTAATTCATATACGATATAGTTCCTCCGTACAATATTTATATATTTTATTTAAGGACACGACTAATTCCACCCCTTAAATGACTAAATTCACTCTTCCACCCAAATTTGCTAAATCCATACTCTAGATGGCAAATATGAAATTTAAACAAGTGGGAGTGATTTAGCACATTTGGATGAGCGAGTATATATAGCAATTTTGAGAGTTGATTTAATCTCACCCTTTATTTAAGTATAGATCAAAAGATGAAAATGATTAACTGAAAAAAGTCAAAACAGAACAAATACTCAAGGATAAAGGTAGAATATAAAAACACATTAACTGCTAGACCGATAGGTTGATTGGGACCGTTGGCGTGGCTCAACTAGTCTGACCAACAAACCCTTGACCTACTTGCTTCCCCGGTTCGATGTCCGGTTGGATTTTCACATTGATTGGCAATAGACGGTTGAAAATCACACAATTAATACCAATGAATGCAACTGCTTTCATTTCTAAAAAAACGAAGGTATGAAACACATACATTAGAAAAGTATTTTACTCCGTGGTATATATATCCTATGAACCTTCTCTTTTTTTTTGCAGGGCAGATGAGGTCAAGCACAACGACATCCAAAAAGGTTCACAGACTCAAGAATTTGGCAACAGTAGTTGAGAAACTTACTATATACTGTGATTTACAGAGATTATGCATCATGCACGGGCCTACATATCCCTTCGACATAAGGGACAAGAGCCGTGCCTCAACAGCCATGTATCAATGCATGGTAGGTGAAACATGTGATGGCACTGCGGCAAACTTCTGATGGTCTCGCCGAGCTGAAAGTCCTATTCAAACAAGTAGGCATCGTATTGTTCAAACAGCCTCAACACTGTGAGTGGTGCAAAGCGATGGGCAATAGGTGAAGCGTAAAACAATTAAGGAATTGTGGCATGAAGTACCTGTAGACATACTGAACACGAGACTCTCTCCCCGGAAGCATCAATATTGATATCACAATTTATTACTATTTTTGGAATCCTTTCAACGGAATCTCCGGGTAAGCCCTTTGAACCACCTAGGTAAAAAATGTTAGATGCTTCGTCGTATGCAGCTTCAATGGCTCCCATCTGACAATAGATGACATCAATAGTTAGATCGGTTGTGGACTCAAACAGAGTTACAAGGTAAAGTTATGGTGATGATACCTGACTTTGGACAGCACTCAGCATTGCCGGACCAATACGCTCACGAACAAGCCTACCACTCAAAAGGCTTGCAATCACATCAATCTGAATAATTTCCAAGACACTCAACAATTAAGCATACAACCAAAGATGTTTTAAATCAAGACTTGACTAAGGAACATCAAATTAGAAAAAAATGATCAGAATAATGTTATCCTGCTAAATCTACCCTATGCATGACCATCTAACCAAATATGGAGCATTTTAGTCCCTATAAACAAAAGGTAGGTACTTTCCTACACATGACCATCTAACCCAAATGGGGAGCATTGTAGTCCTTCCAACAAAAAGCCTTTAGGCATCATATATTAAAAGGCAAGTACCAGTGTATGTTTTAGCTTTGGGCATCATATATTAAAAGGCAAGTACAAGTCAACAATGCATAAAGGTAGATAAGAATCGACGCATAAACCCGTTGCTCGAAAATCCGTTGCTCGAATCGACTCTTCTTGGACTTGCAAATCAGATCGGGTCTAGATAAAAACATAGCCTGACTACCACAAGGTAGATAAGAATTGTTGTGGTTCTAGATGAAAATTAATAGAAGCCCTCGTCATTGGTGAAGAACGAAAGAAAAAGACTCAGAAATTAATAAATTTTGGTAAGTATTGGTGGGTGAGAACAGAGATTTCCAATTGAAGATTGAAAACAATAACAGATGAGATCTGGGTTTTTTTGGGAAAGATCTGGGTTTTTGAACTGTGATGGACACCCAAGAGTACAAGGGGAAATTGTGGCTTCGTCTCCTAATTTTCCTTACCTTGGTATTTATGCCAAAATAAAAGTGGACAAAAAGAGTGGGATGGAGGGAGTATGTGAGTAAGGCTGCGTACCTCAAAACCCCAACGAGGTTGGGAATATACTGGGTTTTGTTGTTACACTGTATACTCGTCATTACAAGTTATATTAAACGAAAAGCCACAATTTTTGAAAGATACATAATTCAGTTTTAATGCAGTGAATTCAAGAGAGCTAAGAAGTCCTGCTTGCTTACCAAGTATAGGAGACACCCAATCCCGGATTCATCATACTGCCACAACAGCAAAGATGACTCAAAGACTTCAAGAGAAAAAACAGCTCCAGAGATAGCACCTACAGCTGCACCTCTTATAAACCCGCTCTCTGTCTCTTGGCCTATTAAAGCTCCAGTCATTGCTCCTAATAAGGTACCCACTGCACAGACAATGTCAAAATTTCTTCATCAGTCCCACCAATTAGTATGAAATGAGTGGATAGATTCATTTTTCCCTCTCCATGAATTCTTTTCTATATCTATGCCTCTTCAATACAGTCAGTATTCCTTATGTAGAAGCCATTTTCCATTTTTACTCTCCCCCCATCAGTTTGTTTTAAAGTAGACTAAATGTAAATGGTAAAATGGTTAAACTCATGGCCAGTGCTGGGCCTGTATTAACAAGGCCCCCGAATAATAAGATGGGCCCAATGTTTTTGAAAATGTAGTAATAGTAATCCTAATAGTCCCTGAGCCCATTTATTGAATACTGAAGAGACGTTGACTCATGAGGCTGTTAGACAATAATATTAAGTATTCCTAGTTATGGTAGATGTTGTATGTTAGTTAGTTTCCATTCTCTATTCCTAGTTGTGTTAGGAGTCTCTCCTATATATATACTCTATCATGTACTTCATAATTTAAGAAAGCAATATTATTATTCCAATATTTCAACATAGTATCGGAGCCACCGCTCTTGGTGACCCAAAAAAAAAGTTCTTTGTTCCCACCGCCGCCGCCGGTAATTCCGGCGACGGCGGCTCCACCCTATTCACCTCTATTTTCTTTTTCTTTTTTATCCTCAAATCAACTTCTCCATTCAAATGAAAAAAAAAAAGAAAAAAACCCTTGTTGAAATCACACAAAAAAAACTATCAAAGGAGGAACTTCTCTCTTGTTATCTCCATGGTTCTTCGAAAAAAACCCAACTCCTCACAAACTCTCTCAGATCATCCTATCTTCTCAAAAAAAATGATTGTTGTTTCTCTCCAATGCACCATATCAAAATCTCAGACCCAATTTTTTTTTCCATCTCCAATTCTTAACCTACTTTTTCTCTCTAAAATCACTCATTCTAATCATCAACCTCTCTTCTCTTTCTCTTCTGTTGAACCAATAAAAATTCAAAGTAAATCAGCACAAAAGCAAAGCCAAGAGGGGAAGTAGTGAAAGAGGAAATAAGACCTTTACAACTCACCCCTTCAAAAAGGAAATAGGGCATTGCCCAGATCCAAGAAAAAGACAAAAATGTCAAGGATCTTCAGTCAAACAGGCACCTCCAGTAGCCTTCTCTATTCTTTTTCGACGTTAGCAGCTACAAGCGCACGCCAACCTTCTCTCTTCTTCATCAACGTCAGCAACTACTAACGCACGTCAATTTCTCTCTTCTCCAACGACGTTAGCAGCTACCAGTGAACGTCAGACTTCTCTCTTCTCCAACGACCTCAGCAGCCACCGACGCGCGTCAGACTTTTCTCTTCTCCAAGGACGTCAGCAGCCACCGGCGCGCGTCACAGACTTCTTTCTTCTCAAAGTTTCCTGTTTCGAGCTAGTGTCCAAGCTTCCTCTTGCTTCAGCCAGAGTTCAGCTTGAGGGGGATGTTAGACAATAATACTAATAGTACTTCTTGTAGTATTGGTTATGGTAGTGTTTCATTATTAGTCAGCTTCCTAATCCTATTTGTGGTATATGTTGTATTTTAGTTAGACTTCATTCTTTATTCCTTGTTGTGTTAGGAGTCTCTCCTATATATACTCTATCATGTACTCCATAATTCAATGAGCAATATTATTATTCCAATATTTCAACATGGTATCGGAGCCATCGCTCTTGGTGACCTAAAAGAGTTCTCTGCTTCCGTCGCCGCCGCCGTTAATTCCGGCGACGGTGGCGCCACCCTATTTACCTCTATTTTCTTTTCCATCTTTAATCCTCAAATCAACTTCTCCATTCAAATGAAAAAAAGAAAAAAAACTCTGTTGAAATCACACAAAAAAAACCATCAAAGAAGGAACTTCTCTTTTGTCATCTCCATGGTTCTTCAAGAAAAAAACCTAACTCCTCACAAACTCTCTCAACTCATCTTATCTTCTCAAAAACAATTGTTGTTTCTCTACAATTTACCATATAAGAATCTCATATCTAGATCTTTTCTCCATCACCAATTCTTAATCCATCTTTTTTTCCTCTCTAAAATCACTCATTCTAATCACCAACCTCCCTTCTCTTTCTCTTTTGTTGAACCAATAAAAATCCAAAAAAAAAACAACACAAAAGCAACGCCAATAGGGGAAGTATTGAAAGACGAAAGAATTCTTCTACACCCCTTCAAGAAAGAAATAGGGCATTGCCCGGATCTAAGAAAAAGACAAAGAATGTCAAAGATCTTCAGTCAAACACGCACCTCAAGTAGCCTTCTCTATTCTTCTTCAACATCAGCAGCTACAAGCGCACGTCAACCTTCTCTCTTCTTCTTCGACGTCAGCAGCTACCAGCGCACGTCAATTTCTCTCTTCTTGAATGATGTCTGCAACTACCAATGCACGTCAGACTTCTCTCTTCTCCAACGACGTCAGTAACCACCGGCGCATGTCAGACTTCTTTCTTCTCCAACAACGTCAGCAGCCACCGGCGCACGTCAGAATTATCTCTTCTCAAAGTTTCCAGTTTCCAGCTAGTGTCCAAGCTTCCTCTTACTTCAACCAGAGTTCAGCTTGAGGGGGGATGTTAGACAATAATATTAAGTATTCCTAGTTATGATAGACGTTGTATGTTAGTTAGTTTCTATTCTATACTCCTAGTTGTGTTAGGAGTCTCTCCTATATATATACTCTATCATGTACTTCATAATTTAAGAAGCAATATTACTAATTCTAATATTTCAACAGAGGCAATGAGGCAGCATACGAGAAGAGAACGATGAGAGCTAAACTGCAAGAGACAAAAACAATTGAAGTAGGATTCTCTAATTGAGGTTATTGAGATTCCCTTTGTTTCAGGCCTCTTAGCCGACAATTCACTGCTCTTCCACATTCAGATTGGTTTAATCATAAAAGCAAAAGGGTGCTCTCGATAAATTCCTTACATCATAAGTGAAAGATGAAGAAAATGATGTCGGAAATTTGGTTGTTGATAGTGGTGTTAAAGTGAAAGAAAATTCTTTTCTCAACCTGCTTGAAGTTGCATAAGAAAGACTGGCGATTTGTGTTGAACTAACTTGAGGTAGGGTAAGACAAATATCAGATGAATGCTTATACCTTGAGATGAATGCATATAGCTTTGTTTGGCTAGGTTTGGGAAAATGATGTATGGGGATTACTAGATGTAATCGATGAACTAAAACATCACACTTCATAACTTATACTTTTAAGTTGGAAAATTTTATGAAGTATTGCAGAAATATAATTTCTCCACACATCATTTAGCAGTCATCAAGATGGAATTATATAAACATTGCAGCACATTGCATATGTAGTGCTTATAAAAGCAGACCTAACAATGTGTCGATCACGCTTTGATCTCTTTCTATTTCCCCTGACCTTGTTAAATTTATAAGTTTCTGAGGGCACAAAATTCCCATATATATTAGGGCTGGCCCTATTGAGGATTTATCAATTATCATCATCGTAAGCATAAATTCCTAAAGTTCTTAAAAGGGTAGACCCTAATTGCATCCGAAAAAAAGCATGAGCAATTGCAATAATGCAAGAAATCCGAGCTTGAAAAAATCAAAATGCATAAGAAACCCATACCTAGAGCGAAGAAAAAGGTAAAGATGGCAGAGAAGACATTGCCGATGAAAGAAGACACAGCAAAGGTGAAGAATTGTTTGGCCTTTGCAACTAGATTGTCAAATGAAAACGAAGAGAGAGCTGAAGACGAAGATGGGTACGTGTAAAACTCCATTGACTCTCTTCTCCGATTCAAGAATTGCCCTCTGGATATAAACACCAGAAGATTCGAGGCTCCAACAACGCAGCTATGGACACACATCTCAAATATCGTGTATGATCAAAATGTATTGATTCCGATTTTGGGTATGACGATGGTGAATGAAGATCCAAGATATTTTTGTTTTCGGGCGGGGCGTGTATATAAAGAGAGGGCAGCCTTTCCTTTTTCTGGGAAGCGTACTTTCCTTAACAAATTACCCGAAACCCAACTTATTCTATTTACCTCTTTCGTCTTAAAGAGTTTTAAAAAATTTAACAAGAATATGTTTTAGTGTTTATATTCCAAAAATACCTTTGGATGTGATGAGTAAAAATATGATATATGAGGTAGATTAATAGTAAAAAAATATAATGTAATAAGTAGCTTGAGAATTAATAGAGATAAAAGTGATTTTTTTAATAGAAATGAGAGATTTTTTAGGATGGATGAAGAAAGAAGGACAAAGATTTTATGGGACTGGTTCTATTTAGATCAGATCAGAAATAGTTTTAAATATAATTAGATTCAGATTAGAACTTATTCCAATCAGATCAGTTGAAAAGAACAAGCTCTAAATGTCCTAAAAAACCTCAATTTCAATTGGCAAAAAATTTAATGAAAATGAATATATGTTGCTAAAAGCATAGTTTTAAGAATCGAACTGGTGACCGAACCGATCAGGTGGTTCAGGTGGTCGAACCAGTGGTTTAAACATATTATAAATATAAATATAAGTGTATATATATATATAATTATTTTGTATAAAATAAAAATAACTCTTTTCATATGTACATAAAATTTTATGATATTTTGATTGAAATTATAAAAATTACTCTTTTATTTTGTTCAGGTGGTCGAACCAATGGTTTAAACATATTATAAATATAAATATAAGTGTGTGTATATATATATATATATATATATATGTGTATATATATATATATATATATATATAATTACTTTGTATAAAATAAAAATAACTCTTTTCATATGTACATAAAATTTTATGATATTTTGATTAAAATTATAAAAATTACTCTTTTTCTTTTAATATGATACATTAAAATTTTTATAAACTAATTCTATTTTTATTTTTTTTAGATATTTCATCGAATATCCAAATATATTAAAATGAATTTTTTTTCGCGACACATACTCTGTATTAGAATTATTTCTATTTTTAAATGTTAAGAATCCTAGTTTAAGAAATAAAAAAATCTTTTAATACATCTTTACACTTTTAATTACGGAATATCTACTACTTGGAACCAATATGTTACAAAAAATATTCTTGCTCGATTGATTGATAGGTGGGTATAACAACCAAGAGGTTAAAAGTTTGAACCTTAGTCATGGAATAATATTTTGGCCAAATTTTGCAACAAAAAAAAATTGGTTCGACCTGGTGAACCGGCCGGTTCCTATCAGTTCAAACTGGTTCAGTGCGCAATGCGGTCCAAAGGGCCGGACCGGACTGGTTCACCGATTTCTGGTCGATTTTTAAAACTATGGTTGAAAATGATAGAAAGGAGAGAGGAAAATTATGAATCACTCAAAGTTTTCCATAAGAAGAAAAATGAGCTTTTTTTTGGAACGTCCAAAAAATTAATGAATCTCTTTTAAGACAAGAGAGTATCATTTATCCCCAAAATAAGAGTTTACCCAAAGTAATATTATGACATTTTATCGTGACATCTCATTGTACTTTTAGGTACTATATATTGGCATTGATGGGTGTATTCCACCCACGACCGGTCAAATGAGGAGACCAATTAGTTGACCGGTCAATCTCGAAAGTTTTGGAAGGAAGACTTAAATCGTCAGCAAATAGGCCAAAAGATGACCGGTATACTTCACGAAAAAAGTATACCGGTCAAACTACTTTGTCACCCCATTTTTCCCTAACTGGGATGATCTCATCTCACGGGGATTACACGGTGTAGTTTCTAGGGTTGGAAAATGTCGGCAGAAGAGAATCTAAGAGGGCTTGGCGTGTAGCGACCCATGTCAGTAGAGGACAACTGGAGATGCTGAAGAATCCATCCAAGGCACTACTCGACAAAGGGAATGATCCCCCTCACAAAGCGACAAGGCAGCTCGAGGACGAAACTAGTCACCTCGCACCACATTAGCGGCATGCCCCCACGTGGCCGCACGTGGTCTTGTCCCCCATAGCCTAGTATAAATACTCATGTAAACCTCAGAAAGAGGGATCCGAATTCATTCTCTCTAAACTCCCTTGTAAAAGCACCTGTGCATTCCCCGTTATAATATAGATTGGGCTACAGGTGTTCCACCTAAAGTCCTACCGGTCAATCTGCGTGTTTTTACCTTTCTTACTTTGCCAAATCAAGCAAACTATTCTAGACCCGATCTAGTATAGTTTGACCGGTCAAGTAATTTACACCATCATTTTTGGCGCCACCCGTGGGACCGTTAAGGTTTCTTCTCTTCTAACACAAAACTACCCACAAAAACACCACTCGAAATGTCTTCCAGCCAACAAATCAACGCTACTTCCGCTCAGGTGCAGGCCACCAATGAGGGTACCAGCATCCCTGTGGCTGCTACCATACCGGTCATTTTAGCCCCGGTGTTTCCTTTGGGTCTAAGCTCTGTCCCAACGCCTAGCGTGATCAGCCCATTCACGACCCCCGTCCCTTCCGCTGGACCGAGGGTCACGTTCCCACCAAGCATGACTCAGTTCATGAATGACCCAGCCAACCTACAAGCCATCCAAGGCTTTGGCCAGGTCATGGCCATGTGCAAGCCGAGCGGGGGGATGCCTTTTCTCCCTGGTATGTTCCCGTTCGCTCTTCCAGGCGCGGGAACCATGCCCCTACATGCTCCGATGGCGGTGACGTCGTTCTAGACGTCGATGCCGCAGCCATCACCTTTCCAACCCCAGCTGGTCAGCACCATGGCCCCTGTCAACTTGACTGGCGCACTTAACGCTGCACGGCCGTCGCGTCCCCCGCAAGGTACGAATCCTTAAGTCACCCCTGATGGTCATTGCGTCTCAATCGAGAGTGATGACGGCGAGTGGGACATTCCGAGGGCCCACAAGAAGAACAAAGGAAAAAACATCCGGCCAGCGACCTCCCGAAACTCCGCCTTCGAAAGGCTGGGGGATAGGGAGGAAGGCCAGAGGAAGTCAGCCAAGCAAAGGCTGGGGCAGAGCGTTGCCCATGTCAGCGCGTTCGCCCGGCTAGGCGAGGTGCGGGAGGCCGAGCCTGCCCGCACCCAGCGCTCCTGGTCTAATCGGCAAGAGCCAGCGAGGACGAGGGCCTCTCGTCAGGAAGAGGAAGCAGAGAGCCAGCCCAGGTTACCGGTGGCGAACCGGTTGACCATCCCAAATGACCGCGTCCAGCAGATGGAGGCAAAATTGGAAAGGCTGGAAAAGAAGGTCGGGGAGAAGAATGACCGGGACAAACCCTTGGCGGGGTCCCCGTTCACCACAAGGGTCCATCTGACACCTTTCCCGCGAAAGGTCAAGATCGACGCCCCTAGGTTCACCGGGAAGGAAGATCCAGAAATCCATCAGGATTCCTTCAACCAGAGTGCGACCATGAACGGTTGCACCGATGAAGAAAAGTGCCTTCTTTTCTTCCAGACCTTGCGAAACCGAGCCACTGAATGGTTCAATAAGCTTCGTCCGGGAAGCATTGATTCGTTCAGTGATTTGGCCTCAAAATTCAAGGCCAAGTTCTAGGAGAATTGTACTAAGAGGAAGAAATTCACCTATCTTTGTACAGCCGGGCAGAGGGAGTCTGAGAACCTTACTCAGTTCCTTACCCGGTGGAAGGAAGAGGTAGACAAGGTGGAAGAAATGGATGACAAGACCGTTCTATCCCTCCTCTTGAATGGCTTGCGTGCTGGGGAACTATACAAGGAGTTCTGCCGGAAACCCCCAGCCACGTACCAAGAGGCCTACCACACTGCATGGGAGTTTGCTGAGGCTGAAACCCAGCTCCGGGCAAAGAGAGAAGCTGAGCATGGTCCCAAGCCCAAGCCGAAGCAAGTCAAGAAGGAGGAAGTCCCGGGACCTAGTCGGCCAAGGCACCACTATGACCCGGTTGTCCGTGTGGTCAATACGGAGGAATGCCAAGAAGTCCGGAAAGCACCGGTCATTCTTCCAGAAAACCCTACCGGTCAAACAGGGCGGCAGTGGTCGGGCACCTATTGTTCGTACCAAAGATCAGATTCTCATAACACCTCCGAATGTAAGAGTGTTAAGGGAGTAATCCGGCAGATGATAGACAGTGGAGAGCTGGGCAAGGATTACCTGCAGAAAACCCAGGAGAAGAGTCATCAGTGGGTTAGGCCAGCTGCCCCGGGAGATGACCGGGACAGCGACCGGCGAAGGAATAGCCGGCCAAGGGAATGGCAACATGCTCCCGAAAAAGAGCACATCGGCATGATCTTCGGCGGACCCGAGGGTGGAGATTCAGCCGCGCAGCGGAAGAACTGGGTCCGGAGCATTTACGTTGGAGAGGTAAGTGCTGAACCGCCCAGGCGTAAACATACTAGAAGGGAGCCGATCGTCTTTACTGACCGGGATCTCCCTCCTACCGGTGAAGATCACAATGATCCATTGGTCATCACCATGGACATTAATGGGGTGGATGTCGCCCGGGTACTTGTTGACACCGGCAGCAGTGTCAACATCTTATACCTGGAGACTTTCCAAAAACTCAAGCTGTGTCGGACACAACTTGAACCCCTTAAAACCCCTCTCTCAGGCTTCACGGGAGACACCGTTGAAGCTGAAGGGTCCATAGTTCTGCCGGTTGAACTAGGATCAGGAGAGAAGACCGTGTGGAAGAAGATGCGGTTCATAGGGTTGGACATCAAATGCGTCCACAACGCAATATTTGGAAGGCCAGGCATCAATAAGGTCGGGGCGGTGATTTCCATGCCTCACCTGTGCATGAAGTTCCACACTCCAGGTGGTGTGGGTGAGGTGAAGGGTGACCAGAGGAACGCCCGGGAATGCTATGCCCGGGCAGTCAAGAAGATGACCAAGGGGGTCAATGTCATCTCTCAAGAAATCGCAAAGGGAGAGACCCGAGAGAAATTGGAGCCCGAGGCCGAGACGGTGGAAATCGAACTTCACCCGGGTGATTCTTCGAGGATGGTCAGAATTGGAGCAAATCTCCCCGAAGATCTCAAGGCAGAGATTACACGGGTCCTCCAAGAATACGCGGGCATAGTCGCATGGAGCGTGGCGGATATGCCCGGAATAGATCGCTCTATTATCTGCCACTGGTTGGCCGTAAGGGAAGGAAGTCGACCGGTACGACAGAAGAAGCGGTACCTGGCCAGTGACCGGCGAGACTTCGTCAAGAAGGAAGTGAAAGACCTCCTCAGTGTTGGTCACATCCGAGAAGTCAAGTACCCGGATTGGCTGGCCAACGTTGTCCTTGCTCCTAAGGGCGACACGTGGAGAATGTGTGTGGATTATACGGACTTGAACAAAGCTTGTCCGATGGACTCATATCCCCTTCCCAGTCTAGATCAAATGGTGGACGAAACTGCGGGGTGCGAACTCCTAAGTTTCATGTATGCCTTCAAGGGTTACCACCAAATCTACATGGCCAAGGAAGATGAAGAGAAGACGTCATTCCTCACACCCGAAGGAACCTACTATTACCGGGTAATGGCGTTTGGCTTGAAGAACTCGGGGGCAACCTACCAGCGCATGGTGAACAAACTCTTCAAGCCATTACTGGGAAAAACCATGGAAGCATACGTCGACGACATGCTGATCAAAAGCCAGGTATCTCTCAACCATCCGGCTGATATGCGAGCCACGTTCGATATCATGGAAAAATACAACATCCGGCTGATTAATAAGAAATGCGTCTTCGCGGTTCGTACCGGGAAGTTCTTGGGATTCATGGTAACCAAGAGAGGAATAGAGCCCAACCCAGAGAAAATCCGGGCCATCACAGAAATGCAAGCCCCTACCTCCGTTAGGGATGTTCAAAAGTTGACCGGTCGCCTAACGGCCCTCAGCCGGTTCCTTTCCCGGTCAGCTGAGAGATCCCTGCCCTTCTTCAAAGTTCTGAAGAAGGCCAACACATTTGCATGGGACGAAGAATGTCGGAGGGCATTTGAGGAGCTGAAAGAGTACCTACCGTCGGATATTGTATTGTCTAAACCCGAACCGGGTGAAACTCTGTATCTGTACCTGGGAATTTCCCCAAATGCTGTAAGCTCCGTTTTAATAAGAGATGATGGGGCACAAAAGCCCATTTACTATGTGAGCAAAGCACTAAACGGGGCTGAGAGTAGATATACGGTGATGGAAAAGATAGCCTATGCGCTTTTCATCTCCGCAAAAAAGTTAACATCCTACTTCAAAGCTCACCCGGTGGAAGTCTTGACTGACCAACCGTTGGGTGCAGTGTTGCGAAATTCAACATCCTCTGGGAGGATGGTGAAGTGGGCGATGATGTTAACTCAATTAAACATTGAGTACCGACCAAGGTCAGTAATTAAGGGACAATCCCTTGCTGACTTCTTGGTAGAAATGACTGGTCTAACTCTAGACCTACCGGTCAACAAGCCCATTGAGCAATGGTGGGAGATGGCAGTTGATGGGGCATCCAATCCTAGAGGATACGGGGGTGGTATCGTGTTCACCACCCGAGAAGGGTTCAAGATCTACCATGCAATCGTCTTCAACTTCAAGCTGACGAACAATGAGGCGGAATATGAAGCTCTGGCTGGAGGGCTCAGGCTTGCCCAAGCCCTGAAAATCAGCCGGGTCAGTATCAAATCTGACTCTAGCCTGATCGTTGGGCAAGTGACCGGTAACATGGAGGCAGGGGAAGGACGCACGGCACAATACAAGGACCTTGTACTTGCCCAGTTGAAAGGCTTCGAAGAGTTCAAGATCGCCCAAATTCCTCGGGCGGAGAACGCGGATGCAGACCTTCTCTCCAAGTTGACGCAGTATGCTCCCGAGCATGTTTCAAAACTTGCCCGGGTAGAGATCCTTGACCGTGCAAGCATCGAAAAATTAGAAGTCGCCGCTATAACAGCCGGAAGCCAATCTGACCGGTCAAACTTGGTCGGGGCGAGCGACCATTGGATGTATGATCTCATGGAATATTTGATGGATGGGAGCTTGCCAGAACAAGATGACCGGGCAAGAAAAGTGAAGCTCAGGGCACTCCGATTCCAGGTTCTTGATGGAAAACTGTATAAAAGGGCATTTGGGGGGCCACTCCTGAGATGTCTAACCAATCGGGAGGCTGAGCGAGTCATAGCGGAGGTACACGAAGGCGTATGCACGGCGCATCAAATGTCCCGTACGCTTTCCCAACGCATCATCTTGTTGGGGTATTACTGGCCAACAATTGTCCAGGATTGTGAAAGGTACGTCCAGAAATGCAGGACGTGCCAAGTATTCTACAAGTATCTCGGTAGACCGGCAACCTACTATCACCCTGTATCAAACGTCATCCCGTTCGCTAGATTCGGGGTGGATATCATTGGAGCCTTCCCAGTCGCCCAAGGAGGGAAGAAGTTCGTAATCGTAGCCATCGATTACTTCACCAAATGGATCGAGGCCGAGGCATTGGCCAACATCACCACGCAGCAGTGCAAGAAATTCATTTGGAAGAACATTATCACGAGGTTTGGAGCGCCCATGAACCTCATCACCGACAACGTCCCACAATTCCGAAATCCGAGGTTCACCGAATACTTGGATGGCTTTGGAATCTAGCACAATCGCTCCTCGGTAGCATACCCCCAAGGGAATGGCCAAGTCGAAAACGCCAACCGAACGATTGTGGATGGTCTAAAGAAACGGCTGGGAGAAGCAGGAAACAAGTGGCTGGAAGAGCTCCCACACATCGTATGGGCATTCCGAGTAACACCCAGGAGGGCTCATGGGGAAACTCCATTCTCCCTAACCTATGGGTGTGAAGCAAGGCTGCCCATCGAAGCTGAATTCCCAACGTTCCGGGAATCAAATTATCAACCCCAACAAAATGAAGAAGACCACTTGGCCGAGCTCAACTTGGTCGAAGAACGAAGAATGGCCGCGGAGGTTAAAATGAGTACATACCAACAAGTTGTGAAGAAGTACCATGACAACAAGGTTGGGCCGCGGTACTTCCAAGTTGGAGATGAAGTCCTACGAAGAAGAGAAGCAAGTAGACCCGGCGANTATGGGCATTCCGAGTAACACCCAGGAGGGCTCATGGGGAAACTCCATTCTCCCTAACCTATGGGTGTGAAGCAAGGCTGCCCATCGAAGCTGAATTCCCAACGTTCCGGGAATCAAATTATCAACCCCAACAAAATGAAGAAGACCACTTGGCCGAGCTCAACTTGGTCGAAGAACGAAGAATGGCCGCGGAGGTTAAAATGAGTACATACCAACAAGTTGTGAAGAAGTACCACGACAACAAGGTTGGGCCGCGGTACTTCCAAGTTGGAGATGAAGTCCTACGAAGAAGAGAAGCAAGTAGACCCGGCGATGGAGGAAAGCTGGCAAAAAACTGGGAAGGCCCATACAGGGTTAGAGCCATCATTCGACCAGGAACATACCGGTTAGAAACTTTAGATGGTGTACCGATAGAAAGAACTTGGAATTCGCACCATCTTCGCAAGTTCTACAAATGATTGTAATACTAGGCGAGGCCTAACTACATTATCAATCAAAGTGATGTTCAATACTCTACTTGGTAGCGGCAGATTTGATAGGTCGAACCTATCCTAGGAGGGCTTCCTGGGTGGATCGAATCCACTTAGATAAGCAAACTGAGACACAGGCCCGGACCTGGCACGCTGGTTACTACACCGGTCTTGCTCAGTATAATAGAAAAAATATTAAAACCCGGAAGAGGGGCCCGGAAGAGGGTATGCCTGCAAGAGGGCTGGACCTGGAAGAGGGTTCGAACCGTACTTACACGGGCCCATGAAGTTTGACTGGTGTCGGGGAATCAGTCGGTGCCGTCAAATTGATTGGGGACTAAAAGATGCCCATTAAAAGAAATAGAAGGGGATCGTCCACCGTGGCGCATCCTGTTTCCCCCTTCTCAGGGAAGACTTGAACGAGGGGTGAGCTAAGGCCTTCCCGGGATGGTAGAAATCAAAGGGCCATTAAAAGACTTAATCACCCGGAAGAGGGGGCCCTGGAAGAAGGGTGCATTTGAACCTTGGAGAGGGTTCGAAACCATTCGACATGGTTAAATCTCCAGTATTCTTACCGGTTAAGGATACTTCAAGAATTACTAGGTTACAGGTGTTTACATCTACAACCTACCGGTCAAAAAAAAAAAGAATACCCCGGTCGGGTATGGGGAACTTCGAAAGTTCACCGGTCAAATTAAACTTTGTCGAAGGATTCGTGAAGCCATCCAAAAAGCCAAAGTGAAGTTCAGCCGGTTCACTTTAGTTCAATCGGGTTGGACTTAGCGTATGCAAAAACAAGTCAAGAAAGCGAAAATTGAAGTTTGACCGGTCAAAGTTACTCAAGCTGATCCTTCAGATAAAGTGATCAAAGAGAACTTTGAAGTTCTACCGGTCGGAAACAATTGAAGTGGCCTGATTTATTTACCGGTCGGGATTTCTATAATGATATTCCAAGAAGCAAGAGCAAAAATATCAATCAAGAAACAAACAGATATGCAAGATCAACCGGTATGGAAATTAAACATGGCATTCAAATGAAATAAAAATGTTAAGTGTTTACAGCTACACCGGGCATCCCCGGGGAAATTTCAAGTTGAGAAGTTTTACAAACACAACCGGTCTAGGTCGAGGAGATCCTAATCTAAGGGGAAAGGGGGAGTAGGATCTTCCTTGGGGATAGGAGCCAGGCCGTAGGAAGCCGCAGTGAAGGCCGGGTCTCTCTTCAGGAGGATCCGGTGGGAAGCTGCCCGGTCTTTCTTTTGACCGCACTTGAATCCGAAAGATCCAACGGCGGTAATCATCTTCTTCCCTTCAGGCTCCCGGTAAAGAAGCCTGAAGGACTCCATCGTGGCTTCCGGCATTGTCGTCATCACCCGGGCAGCGACGGCTTTGTTCTCTTCCACCCAGGCAGCTGCGCGCCCGGGGAAGGTTTCTTCCTTCTCTACCATTTCCCTCTTGGCCTCAGAGACTTCATCCATAAGCCGACCATTCTCCTCCTTCAGCTGGGAGATCTCGGTCTTCATGGCCCCGGCTAGCCCAGACAGCCTGATCAGCTCATCAGCCTGGCTCTTCAAGATGAGGGCCATCTCTTCTTTCTCCCTCTTTAGCCGGTCGACTTCGAAAGGGGAACTCATCCCCAAACGGTCCACTGTATGCGGCCCAATCTCCCCCGCCTGCACAAAAACGAAACAGACCGGTAAGTTTCTCGATAGAAGAAAAAGAAAATAAAGACCGGGATAGCAGCAAGACTTACCTCCTTCAGCCTCAGCCCCAGATTGATGAAGGCTTCTTCGATGGTCTGACCGGCCGGCTCAGAATCCGGCCTTGCCCTTTTCTTGGCATAAGAAGGGTGCGTGGTGGCCACCTTCTTCGTTCGCCGACCGGTCTTCTCCTTCTCCTTCCCCTTGGACCGGTTGTCTTGGGGCTCATCTTCGTCAAGGATTTCCACGGTCTCTGGATTGACCGGGAAGGTTCTTGTAGTGTTGGCTTGGGAGCCCCCGGTCTCTCCCGCTGGTTGGTCGTCGAGGATGGCGAACTCCTCGAACTCCATATCTGCAAGAGAAGCTAAAGTCGTTAAGTACAAGAAGAGACACTGGTCAACTACGAATCACAAGAAAAATGAGAAATACCTGGGTGGTTTTGGCCCTCAGCCTCTGCAGTCTTGCCCGGGGAGGGTACCCCGCGCCCCGCTGCTTCCTGGGCCTAGGAGGTACCCTCACCACCCGACTCTACCCTCCAAACCTAGCTGCCTTGATGGAAGATCCTCCCGGTTAGAGGATCCCCGCGCATGAGGACCTCAAGGTTCGCTTCCAAGTCAGGGGAGGAGGCCGGTGCAGCGTACTCTTGGTCGAGCAGATGGTCGTTCCATTTCAGACCGGCCAAAGGGGTGACAAAGGGGGGAAACTCGATAAAAACAAATTTTTCCTTCCATCCCCGGTTACTCTAGGGGACTTCGGAAATGAACTTCCTACCGGTACGGGCTTTGAAGAATACAAAACCTTCGCAGCCAGTCCCGCCCGGTAGGACTTCGAAGCAAAAAAGGAAAAGACGCAAGGTGGGGACGATTTTCAGGTGAGTGCAGATATTTACGAAGGAATAAAGATACCGGTGGGCGTTAGGAGTTATTTGGCTGAGCAAAATCCTAAACGCGTGGCATACTTCGGTTAGAAGGGGGCGAAGGGGAAAAACGATGCCCGTGTCCAGTGATATTGTATGGAACCCTATCCTATCCTCCCGGTGGGGTTCGACAATGTTGGGCCAGTTAGGTTCATACAGGAGGGTATACCCATCCGGGAGCCTCCTGCGAATTTTATTCAAGGCGATTTTGGATACATGGGAAGGGATGTCAAGGACATAGAAGGTGGGGAGCGGAAAGTAGCCGGCAACATGAAGCCGCTCCTCCCACGCATCCCGGGTTTCGTTTTCAGGGTCGTAGGGACCCGGTTCGTCATCGATCGGGTCATTCCTCCCCATGAAAACTTCACCGGGCATCTGATTAACAGGATGCGGGTCGGGAATAGAGGAGTTGGGAACCTGACCGGGCATGGAGTCGGGAGAAGAAGACCCGGTCGAGGAAGATGAGTTGGAGTCCTCAGAGGAGCAGTCCTCTGAAGACGAAATCCTATCGCTAAAAGAAGACATGACCGGGAAAGAAAGTAGAGGAGGAAGGGGAAACTTACTTGGCTCGGAGGGCTGGATAGCGAGAGAGAGGAATTTGACTGGTGAAAGCTCTGGAAGGCGAAGTGCGAAAAGTGAGAAGTGAAGAGGGTTGGAGGCCTTTATATAGGAGGGAGGAAGCCGAATCAGACGACGTGGCCTCTCCAGGTTGCGCCGCGTCAGGCGGCGCAATGATGACCCACTGGCAGGCGAAACGACGGGTGGGCCGCCGACCGTTGCAACGACGTGTGTCCAACACGTGTCAAAGCTCTGAGTTCAAATTCAAATTTTGAGATTTTCGGGCGGGAAAAAGCCTGAAATTCAAATTTGAGGTCCCTTTTTAGACTTTTTACTTCCCACTCATGGCAAATTGCATGACCGAGAAGTGGAGGGCTTATTGATGGGTGTATTCCACCCACGACCGGTCAAATAAGGAGACCAATTAGTTGACCGGTCAATCTCGAAAGTTTTGGAAGGAAGACTTAAATCGTCAGTAAATCGGCCAAAAGATGACCGGTATACTTCACGAAAAAAGTATACCGGTCAAACTACTTTGTCACCCCATTTTTCCCTAACTGGGATGATCTCATCCCACGGGGATTACCCGGTGTAGTTTCTAGGGTTGGAAAGTGTCGGCAGAAGAGAATCTAAGAGGGCTTGGCGTGTAGCGACCCATGTCAGTAGAGGACAACTGGAGATGCTGAATAATCCATCCAAGGCACTACCCGAAAAAGGGAATGATCCCCCTCACAAGGCGACAAGGCAGCTCGAGGACGAAACCAGTCACCTCGCACCACATCAGCGGCATGCCCCCACGTGGGCGCACGTGGCTTTGTCCCCCATAGCCTAGTATAAATACTCATGTAAACCTCAGAAAGAGGGATCCGAATTCATTCTCTCTAAACTCCCTTGTAAAAGCACTCGTGCATTCCCCGTTATAATATAGATTGGGCTACAGGTGTTCCACCTAAAGTCCTACCGGTCAATCTGCGTGTTTTTACCTTTCTTACTTTGCCAAATCAAGCAAACTATTCTAGACCCGATCTAGTATAGTTTGACCGGTCAAGTAATTTACACCATCAGGCATTGTACTTTTATTTTGGGATGAAAAACCATAAGACTCCTATTTTAATACTCTATCAATGTTTTACTTCTAGTTGAATCATTTTCTCTAATTCCTTTTGGTATAATCGGCCTACAAATTACTACGAACCTTAGTGATAGATTAATACTTTGGCCAAATTTTGCATCAAAAAAAAATTGGTTCGACTGGGTGAACCGGCTGGTTCTTACTGGTTGGAACTGGTTCAGTGTGCAATGCGGTCCAAAGGGCTGGACCGGACTGGTTCGACCTTTAGTTCACCGGTTTCCGGTTCGGTTTTCAAAACTATAGTTGAAAATGATAGAACGGAGAGAGGAAAATTATGAGTCACTCAAAGTTTTTCATAAGAAGAAAAATGAACATTTTTTGGAACGTACAAATTACTACCACATTCCTTAAGTATTTGTCATGTTTGACTGTTTGCAATCAATCACTTTCAACCTATGACCTTGAGTTAAATAGAAATTTGATGATATATTAACCAGAGAAAACTGTATTTTGAAAATATTGTATAAAATAAATCTAAAAAAATACTTTTCCTGTTAATATTTAATGCTCCCTCCGTACAAAATGGAAATTTGATGATATATTAACTAGAGAAAACTATATTTTGAAAATATTGTATACAATAAATTTAAAAAATTTTTTTTGTGTTAATATTCAATGCTTCCTCTACACAAAAATTATCATCTCATTAATATTTACATGGTGAAATTTTACCCACTTTATTGGTCTATTTTCGTTGCCTATTTGATAAAACAATATTGTCATGTCACCTCTAATTTTTTACAACTTTAGATGTAGTTTTTTAATAAGTAATTTTTATTTTTTTAATTCCTCATCACTTTTTATATAAAATGATTTGAAAATAATTTCAATCAAACATCGTGATGTACAATAGGAAGATAATTGTTGGGTGGAGGGAGTATCAATTTTTTTAATTAGTGGCTAAAGTTTATTAATTTTGACCGTAAAAAATTAAAACATGATGAATATTCAGACACAGACAGAGGTAGTAATAGAGTATTGTATTGTTTGAGAATTGAATTTATAACTAAAATAAAGATCAATTTTTTGGTGATCTTTAGATATATACTTATATTATAAACTGTAATACACAATATATATACATACATACATGCATGCATGCATACATACATACATACATACATACATACATACATACATACATACATACATACATACATATGTATGTATGTATGTATCTATGTATGTATGTATTTGAACTTTGTAAAAATATATACTCCCTCCGTCCACAAATAAACTTTACGTTGCGCGTTACAATGTTTGACTAAAGTTATTTTTAAATCATTTTATATGAAAAATGGTGTGAAATTTTAAAATAAAAATCACATATTAAAAAACTATATCAAAAGATCTACAAAACTAGAGGTGGCATGACTATATTATTTTATCAAATGGGTAACGAAAATAGGCCGACAAAATAAATAAAGTTTGACCTTATGAATAGTGAACGTAAAGTTTATTCGTGGACGGAAGGAGTATAAGAACTTTTAAAATTTTATTGCATTAAACTTAACTTAGGTAATACAAATTGAGAATAGTAAATTTTCAAAATGACACTCAATAACTATGTGTTTAATTAAATTATTCCCAAAAAATAACTAATTCCCAAGATGATACTTATTAATTGAGAATAATGCTCTGTTCAGTCCTTTCGACTAACGGCCGCTAAAACGACGTTAAACCTTATACTATTATTCCAAAATGGTACTCTCAAATTGAGTGTTTTCTCAACTTAGTCCATTTTTGAAATAAAAATACATTAATTATGAAAAAATATTTTAAATTTTATAGGATGACAATATAATACTAATAATTATAGATATAATTTTATAAATTTGAAAGAAAATGTTTTAGATTATTTACAATTATATAGAAGAATATAATGTTAATAAAGTGTTAAATAAACGTTAAATAAATTTCCCTAAATATGAGTAAAATTTAAAGAATGTACCAAAGTAGAAGTTTTTTTCTATGTTTTACTCCTATTTATGATAATTTATTTAATATTTATTAAACATTTTATTTACTTAATATTCTAAATAATTGTAAATAATAAAAAACGTTTACTTTCAAACTTATACAATTATATTTATAGTTTTTAGTATTATATTGTCATCCTATAAATTTAAAATATTTTTTCATAATTAATATATTTTTATTTTGAAAATGGCTTAATTAGAGAAAACATCCAGTTTGAAAGTTTTATTTTGGAAAAATAGTATAAGGCTTAATATCGTTTTAACGCCATTTTAACGTCTTTAGTCCGGACTCCGGAGGACGGAACTATATCATCCCCGGAATTAGTTAATTATGGAGACTACTTTAAAAAAACACATAATTATTAAATATTATTTTGAGAATTTAGTGATTCCAAAATAAAGGTACCCTATAAACTTTTAAAAAAGTCAACCTACTATCAGTATTCAATAGCAAATTAGACATTGTTGAACTCGTCTTCTCCCACCAGCTCCGTCGGTATCTTCCACGGGACACCTTCAAACTGAGAATTAAAAATCAACATCAACAACCGTTTCTCCCACCGCTTGCAATTCAATCCCTAGATTCGGATCAGAATCACAGCCGGTACTCTTTGACAATGGCGGTTAAAGGGAAACACGGCCGAGCCCCGTCGCGGACGCCGGCGTCCTTGGCAACCTTGGCCTTCGCCGTCTTCGTAATGCTCTCCTTTTTTGTTTTGATTCTCCTCGACTTTGGAATTCTCTCGATTCCTAGCAGCTCCAGAGGCTCTCAGAAAGCCCACGATCTCAGCTCGATCGCACACAATACAGTAGAAAGGTACTATGCATGTCCATTGATCCTAACTTGTTTTTTTTTGTTTTTTGAAATTCAACCGTGATCTGATATTTCTGATGGAGAGTTTCTTGGGAGCAGAAAAGGAGATGGAGAAAATGATGGTAGAAAAAGAGATACTTGGGTTGAGATGATTTCCTGGGAGCCTCGGGCCTTTGTTTATCACAATTTCTTGGCACGTTCCTGTAAAATATCATTCTCCTATTTACTGCTACGTTTGTATTTGTTCTTCCTGAGATTTATTTACAGTTTTACACCAGTTTCAAACTCCGGCTCTGCAATATTACTGCAATCAATTACTGTTACCATTACCAGTGATTCAGTAAAAGGGATATTTTTTTGATTTTGAACAAAAGTATTTGGACTCTCTGCATATAGAATTGTATGGCTTCATCAACTCTTTTGGTATTCATGATTTTCATTTTGAAACAAAAAAATATCCTCTTCAATGTCTAAAGCTAAAACAAGTTTCCCTTTTTTTGGGACAAGAATGCACTTTTGTTTAGCAGATGTTTCATTATTGCATTATCCCTTAAGATGAGTTATATTAGGATTAATATTTACATTTATTTTTTTGTTTTTGTATTATTTTTTCTAGCATTAGATTCTTTAGCTCTTTCTTAGTCTATTCTCTCAGATTTTGTGTTCCCACAGAATACTCGGTGTTTTGTTTTCTGTGTGTTGTTCTAAACATCAGATAATCACCTTCAATATAAGATTAGATAAATTGGTGGATCTGTGATGTGATGACTTTATCAGTCATCTAACATTACTTTATGTTTGTATTATATTTATATTCTAAACTCTGGATTACTTTATCGTTTGTTTCTCTATAGAAGTTCATTTTATGTTGAGGCTATCAATTCAACTGTGTGATCTGTTGGCTTATACAGAAAAGCCACTGACCTAATTTGCCCTTGATATTTCCTGTGCCAGTCCAAGGAAGAATGTGAATATTTGATTAACCTTGCTAAACCCCACATGCAAAAGTCAACTGTGGTTGATAGTGAAACTGGCAAGAGCAAAGATAGCAGGCAAGCATCTCATCTCTCTGAGCATCATTTTGGCATGTCCATCCTTCCTCTAACTTTATTATTTGTAATTGCTCATAGAGTGCGAACAAGCTCGGGAACATTTCTTCCTAGAGGACGTGATAAAATGGTCAGGGAGATTGAGAAAAGGATTGCAGATTTCACCTTCATACCTGTGGGTAAGCAGTTTAGCAAGAATACCACTACTATTTCTACTTCTGCACTGCGTGTTTTCATTTAATATGATGTTTTTCAAAGCTAATATTCTCTATTATATTGAGAGCTCTTTGGGGGTATCAACATTTTGGCTTGTGTCATTCATTCTCATATTTGGTATACTAAAAATAAAACAAAGCCCTTTGTCTTTTCCTTCCATTTTCACTGATTCATTGGTGACCTTTAGGAACATTTTTTTTGTCACATGTTAGGGCCACCTTGGTTCATCAACTATGGTGAATTGGTGATTTTTGCAGTTTTGTCCTTCAAATTTTTAAAATGTTTCAAATGTTGTCTACAGTTTCCTTTTATAAAGAAGGGTTATGTTTTAAGAATGTGGTAGTATTTTAGACATTTTAAACTTGTTACTCCTTACATTTTAGAAGTCAATGGACCATATGTGGAATGCCATTGTAGTCAAGGGACCAAAAAGTGAACTAACTTCTTGCCACATTCTTGAATCATAATTTTACCTGCTTTCTCTTTCTTATTTGATCTCTCCAAGTCAAGGGCTCCACTTTAATGCACATCCTTAACAGTGGGGTACATAAGTTGATTCACCACATGAGAACTTAAGCACTAATGCTTCTATACATTCCTTATCCTTAGAAAGCTCATACTTTTCTGTCTGCACATTTGTTCTACTATTTCTATGTATTAGTGTAAATTTCATTTATGAAAAGGTTTATATGTTCTTTGCCGTTAACACTTGCAGAAAATGGGGAAGGCCTTCAGATTCTCCACTATGAAGTGGGCCAAAAGTATGAACCCCACTACGATTACTTTCTTGATGATTTCAACACTAAGAATGGGGGTCAGCGCATTGCTACAGTGCTCATGTACTTGTAGGTAACCTGATACTTACCTTTGGTATTTATTCACTTAGCCTTGTATCCTAAACTCTTTTTTGTTTTTATCATGCTGCAGATCAGAAGTTGATGAAGGTGGGGAAACAGTATTCCCTGCAGCCAAGGGAAATTTTAGTGATGTTCCTTGGTGGGATGAACTATCAGACTGTGGAAAAGGTGGACTATCTGTAAAACCAAAGATGGGTGATGCATTGCTTTTTTGGAGCATGAAGCCTGATGCAACTCTTGACCCATCTAGTCTGCATGGTTTGTAATTTCATATTCAAAGCAGATTCATGTTAAAATTTGTTAAAGAAGGGAACATTGTTATTATTAGATTATCACAATGCAATAGGCACCATATATGTATACCAAGAGATACACCTAGAGTAAATCGGAAGTCTAGGAAATATCAAGGCAACCATAGATAACATGAAAGGTCAGACATGCATAAAACATGTTACAACCCACACTCCTCAGTCCTCAAGCTGGAGCATGCATATCATAAGCTCCAAGCTCGTTACAAATATATTCAATTCTCAGTCCTCTAAGAGTTTGGTGAGCATATTTGTGTCCAAGATTCTCATATATCAAATCAATAACTGGCGCCTTTTTAATGTAGCATAAAATCCTGATAACAGCATCCCAATGGCTTTCACATGATTGTTTGTAGGAATTGGCTAGCAATACTTTTAGTTTGGTAGGGAAGTTTTCCCACAAGTCTTCAATGTCCATTAGGATATGAGAATTGGCACTATATAAAGGTTTGCCATTCTCCTGTCACGGTAAAAGCTAAGCGTTAGGGCCCATCATGTGAATTGGCTTACAATCCGGCCATATTGTATATGAACTTTCAAGGCATTTTTATGCTGGGAAATGCATACCCCCTGCTCTGACCTCCTCACAATATATCTTAGCTTACCAAGATTTTTTGTCTCAAAGTGTTGAAGCAAATGCTTCTTGAGAACTCTATTCCTTCTCCATCTTCTCCAATCATCACAATGTCATCCGTGTAGACCACCAGTACCTCTAACTGCACATGGAGATCTAGTGCGAATGGAGAGCAATTGAAGACTTAAAACCTAACATAGAAGTTCCACATATCACCAGATATTTTATCTATTTATTTTACCCAATGCATGCCTTTTGAGATATTGTACTTATCAGGCTTTCTAGCTAAAAAACATAAATCGGGACCCTGTTGGTATTTTTGCAAGAGTCAGAGGTACACCTAGACTTCTAGGAAATGTCAAGAGTTTACACATAGGTAATAATGTAACGTATCAAGTGACAAACATAAAAAAACATGTCTTTATTCAATAAAACTGATATGGTGCTACTGTTTTTCTCTTTATGCGATCTACAATATCACCAGTTTCATAATTGCAAGGAATGTACTGAGTTCGGTGGCCCAAAATATGGTTTGAGAGACAAGATACAATTCTTTGAATTTTCTTGTAGGTGGGTGCCCGGTCATCAAAGGGAACAAGTGGTCATCTACAAAATGGATGCGTGTTCATGAGTACAAGGCTTAACGAAACATGGATTCTGTAGTGAGTTTTTTGCTTTCCATTTGTGCCGGGTGGGGTAACTACTTGCTTGCTTTATGTAAGATATTTCAGAACTACTTGTCTTATCATTTTTTATTTGATGTCTTTGAAATTGCCATGCCTTTTTCAGGCTGCTGTGTTTGTATCTTTTTCTTTCAAAATCCCACACCCCCAAGTTCATTCTCTTCAATAGTTTTGGAATATATTTGTGTAAAAGCTTGTTGTCCATTCGCCATATCAATTGGGCGCACGCCCGTACCAGCCTGATATTTTTACAAAATACTAACCCAGATTGTAAAGTATTACTTGTATGATAAAAAAATTCTGTTTTATTTTGTCTTGATAGGTCCAGACTTCAATGTGTATTTGAATGCACCTATTGCTGTACGACTTTGTATCACGCAACTGTTAAGGATCTTTCAGGCACCAACATGCTATCATGGCAGTAGGCATCCGGATATTTCTTGGTGCGGCCATTCCTAATTTCTGCCCTCATAAAAGAAATAAGTTCCACAGAAGGAAGATGCAGTTATTTTATGTTCATTGGGAGCTTTTGTATATTGCTGTCCTTGTTTACTGTCAATGAATTGCGTCAAATTGGGCATTCATCATTACAGAAATAAAAGTCACTAGAATTTTGATGCTCATTTACACACTAATTTATAAGAAAAAGCATGTTTTTTTGACATGATAAAGCATGTTTTTAGTTCCTCCCTTGTCCATGTCAAATCGGAAGTCCAAAACGACCTCACTGAATTTGTTATACTTGTGATGAAAATGGTTGAATTCGCCTGAACTGTATAAAATATTTTTGAAATGCACTCCCAATCCACCCCTCATGGTAGTAACAGATAGGGGCGGTGTACATGGGCGAAGGAAGAAGACATGAAAGATCAAGATTAGAAGCCCGCAAGGGAAGTTCAGAGTAGGCCCAATCAGGTTTAAGACCGAGCGTTAAAGCTCGTCTTGAAAAGTGAAGATTAAGCTCAGCCTTTTCAAGCTTGGCTCAAACCTATCGCCATAAGAGTTAAGACATTTTCTAGGAGGTTCTCTTGGTTTCATCTAAGTTGCGGGTCGATCCGGTGTTTTAAGTCGGGCCAAAACGTTAGTTAAGATATTTCATTGTACACCCCGCTTGCGCGCCAAATATTTATCTAGAAGGGTACACACCTCTCTTTTGTTTATAAAAAACCCTCCCTTCATGTTGGGAAGGGATTGAATTTACTAGATTCTACCTGTGCAATGCACGGTAAGAATAATAAACAGAGTAATAATAATCAATGTAATACATAAATAACATGCAATTACATAATACAGAGTATGAAATTGAATATTGAAAAATCTTGTTTACATCACGCGGAAATAATATTGATGCGGATACTAAAAATAATCGTAGTGTCTTACATGATTTACGTATCGAACACACAAAATAAATACGATATAAGTTACCAATTCGGGATAACATTTTTTGTACACAACACTCCAAGTGTGGTCCAATGCATTACTTTTTTCACGGTAGGTTAAAATTTTCAACCTTTCTCGATTTGTCATAGTAACCAAAGTACACAATGAATTAAGTGTGTCAAATGACCTTGCTACAAACACAACATGATCCATGATTAGACTATATGATATTTAGTTAGTGTTCTATTCTTTGGGTGCATTGTAGTGTGCTAATTAATCAAAGGAAAAGAACATAAATCAAGATTTCAGTATGCAAATTAATGTTAAACACAAAAAATTATTCTTTGGGATTATGAAAGGTTAAATATAATAATCTTACTAATTTTTTATAAGCTTATGTTATCTTATACATATATTGAATTTTAGATAATATTTCTCGATATCAAATTATTTTATTACGTTTTTCTATGTTAGTCTATCCCAGAGCAAGAAAAAAAAGGTAATGTTAGCAAAAATATATTTACTTTATTTTCACCGTTTTCTTGACAATGAGTGTCATTAGAATGAAAAGGATTTTTATACATTTAAAACAATGGCTTCTCATCCAAGAGTCATTGTCATGCCTATCAATAGTTCTATCCTATTGAAGCCAAAGTTATGAGAGAATGTGATTCCCTCTTTATCGTGAAAGATCACATCTAGAGTCCTTCATCTTTCGTATTGGGGAACTCTGTAAATTCAAAACGAAGTGCCCATTCAGAAAATTTCTTAGTCTAATAGCCTCACATAATTTATTTGAAAAGAAGGCATAGCCATCGGGATAAATTCATCAGCATCATGAAGCTGATCTCTTCATTGGGGTTAGCCATCGAAAGGGAAATTAACCTCGAGGAATTCAATGAAGACACATCTGGTCTTCCACTTTCCGTGGCCACGTGGAACATCAAACAAAAAACTCTATTCTTTTCGAGAGTGAAAATAAATGAAACCAGGGCAATTTCTGCCATCGGCCAAAATGTCAAACATAAATAGATACTCCCATGTGCGTTTGGGGTCAACTAGCTGGGGAGAACGGAAATACAGTTACAAATCTGAACAAGAAGGGGGCAAAAAAGAAAATTAATCCTCATGTCCAAAGAAGCAAGATGGAAACCCAATCGAGGCCTTGTGTATGGATCAATGTTTTTGTGGTTGCAATTATAGTGATAGATTTACCTAGGTGGGGGGCATTAAGGTTTCGGGCCTTATTTAGCAAGATCTTGGTGCGCGATCTTGGTAAATATCTAGCGAACGGGTCAGAGGTCATAGCATGGTAGCTGACCTCTTCCAACGACGCCACCCAGTCGTCCTAAACACTAGTCTCGAGTCAAATTGATCGTGCATTTTATTTAGGGGTACTAATTCGGAAATCATCACGATCCCGGAGAGGGCTGGCCTGAACGGTCATGGTTGGACCTGACCGGTGACCTAAGCAGAGTCGAAGAGGTAGTGGAGGAGGAAGAGACTGACCCATACGAATGGGTCGAGACATTCTAAGAGTTACTCCTCGAGGACATGATGGCTACCCTACCGGTTGAAAAAAGAAACACTAGGAGGGTTGAAAGGCTTGGTAGAAGCTAAAAAGAGATGAAGTGAATAAAAGACCATGTTCGTGATTTGAAAAAGAGAGAAGTGAGAAGAATTATGAGCGAGGTAAGATATTTATAAGAGAGAGGATGGACAGGCCAACCCCTTTGGGTGAATGAGGAGACAACATTCGTGCAAAATGTGTCAGGAAGGAAAATTCCAAATTTGAATCCAAAAATTTGAATTTTGAAATTTGAATTGATGTTGACTACGGAGGGACACCCTTTAGACAAAAGGGCAAGGGGGATGGTTCAAAAAATTTGAATTTGGAATTTTTCAAAATAACGACCCTTAAACGATGGTACCTCGATTAAAATTTCTTAGTTCAGTCCCTCGATTCACGAACATGCCAGTTCAAGGAACCATTTTGGGAAATTAGTATATGGTTTTATGTTCTTTAAACGGTCATTAATCAAGGGACCATCCATGAAATAATTCTCAGTTCAGTCCCTGAACTGAGAAATTTATTAAATCGAGGGACTGAACTGAGAAAACATTTATTAAATATTTTACTTACATCATAATCTTCTAAATAATTGTAAATAATACAAAACATTTACTTTCAAATTTATAAAAATAAATTTATAGTTTTAATTATCATATAATCATTCTATAAATTTTCAAATATTTTTCCATATTTAATGTATTTTTATTTCGAAAGTGGACCAATTTGAGAAAACACTCGGTTACAAATTACCATTTTGGTAAATATCTATAGGGTTTATCGTCATTTTAATGAATGTTAGTCGAGAGACTGACCTGAGAATTATTCTCAATTAGTGAGTACCATCTCAGTAACTACTTAATTTTATAGATTAATTTGGAAAAATACATCATTATTGAGTAGCATTTTAAGAATCTTTTTCTTTTTAAAAATAAAAAATTATCATAAATTTTTTTAAAAAATAGTTTTTCAATTAAGATGAAGATATTTTATATCCATTCATTCAAAAACTAAATGGAGATAAAAAGAGTAGAAAAAGGGAAAGAAGTGCCATAGATTAACGAAATAAAAAAGAGCAGAGATTAAAATAGAAAATAGAGGAAGAAGAAAGAGAAAAAAGAAGAAAAAAGGTTTGGGGGAGGGACACAAGAAAAGATGGTGTGTGAGGAGCAAGTATGAAAGTAATCAAAAAAATAAGAAAAAGAGTTTTAATAGGAAAATAATACTCCCTCCGTTTGCAAAAAGACTTCTCATTTTGATTTGGGGCAAAAATAAGGAAGTGTTAAATTATAGTTGATTTCCAATTTTGCCCTTGATGTGATGGGTAAAAGTAAGATGTGATGGATAGATTATTAGTGAAAAAATATGATGTGATAGGTAGGGTATAAAAAAGTAAGGGTAAAAGTGGGTTTTTAATAGAAAGGAGAAGTGTTTTGTTGGAAATGGAAAAAATGAAAGAAGAAGTGTTTTTGAGAACGGATGAAGTAGTTGTATTCCAATTTTTGATATTGGCTCTTTAAATTATATCCTGAGTACTATTTATTCTCTCACACGAATAGTGTATCTTGGAATATCAATACCACCAAAAAGGGGAGTGTAAATATTTTTTCCCATTTTAATATGGTGTTAGGCCATCTACAATGGATGTACTCTCCTCAACCCTCTCCACTCTCATGTCATTTTTCTCTTCTTTTTCTGCACTAAACCAAAACATATTCAATGCTATCATTATCTCATTTCGCATCTCCATTTATTTTAGAGTATTCACCATTTTTACTCCATCAGTCCCCTCGAATTTGTCAAGTGATCCTTTTAGACTATCCCTTAATATTTATCCACTTTTCATGTAAGGTAACATAAAAGAAATAAAAGGATTATTATACCCTCCACATTCAAAATTTTTTCAGGCTAATCCATTGTGCCCAACGACCTTTATCGCTTTGTTCCTATACACCAGTGATTATTATACTTTCTAGATGTATCTCTCATGACAAAGAAAATGGCAAAACACGATGTTCGCAAACTAATGGTGACAGAGATGGTGATTCTTGATGTCGGCGAACCCTAGCCCTAGTCTAACATTTGATGAAACGTAACATATGATATTAACAAAGATGATATGAGAGAGTATTAGTTTGCAACAAAAATAATATTTTGGGAGGGTGGACTTAGGGCTTGTTTTCTTCCCCTGATCTGATTGAAATAAGTTTTGATCCGAAATGGTCTAATTTGATCTGAATGAAATTGTATATAAAGTTGTTTTTGATTTAGTATGATTCCAATAGGAATAAGTATTAAGTATTAAGAATAAGTTGAAGAAAACGAGCTCTTATTGGATTCAAGGTTAGGAGTGAAGATTGTAGAATTATTTTATGTAGATAAAATAAATTTATCATGTCAAAAAAAAGAATAAGTTTATAACATGTGAGGTCTATCTTGAAAAAAGCATAGAAAGAGTGGTGAATTATTAAAATAATGGGAGAAAAATTAAGAAAGAAAACAAGAGAGAGTATTAATTTAGAACAAAAATACAGTAGTATTTTGGGAGGGTGGAATTAGGGCTTGTTTTCTTCTCCCAATCTGATTGGTTCTGATCTTATTGAAATAAGTTTTGATCCGATCTAAATGAAATTACACATAAAGTTTTTCTGACCTGACCTCATTCAAATAAAAATATATTAAAGAGAACAAGCTCTTATTGGAGTTAGGGGTAGGAGTGAAGATGATAGAATTATTTTATGTATATAAAATAAATTTATAATGTCAAAATAAAATAAAAATAAATTAATGACTTGCGAGGCCATCATTTAAGATAGAATAAAAATTAAAAAGTGTGATGAATTATTAAAAAGTGTGATGAATAAGGATAATTTAACACGATTACTCTAAAAAATACAACTTTTTACAAAAATACTCCCATATTTGATAATTAACACCATTGCTCCCAACTTTTTTATATTTTCACGACATTACTCCTATTTGCCTGGTCAGCTCCTACGTAAAAAATAAGGCTGGCTTGTGTTTCAATACTCTTTTCCATTTTCATTTTATTAAAAACAGGAGTCCCAAGCCTTCTTCATACGCATTGTGTTCGTACTTTTCTTAAAAAAATAAAATTATATATATGAAAAAATTATTCATTAAAATCTACGTGCACCACTCAGTGGTTTCCCTGAGCGTACAATTGTCTTTGTTGTGTGACTGTGCGTAGGTAATAAGCTATGTCGTCCATAGGGAAGATGCTAAGGCGGGAGAATTGGCATTAAGATGCAGGAACTGTTTTTAATAATTTAAAGTATTTGGAGACTTGAACTCATAATGTAAATATGTTGAATCTTATTTAGCTTCCGTAACGATTAAACTAAATTGCTCCAAAAATTACTTTATCATGTTTTGAGGAGACTATGCTTTAAATTCTTTTAAATAATTGTTAGTATTACTTTTTAAAAAGGATGAAATATTACTTCAAAATTGCTAGCGCTCTGTCTGCTCACCCGCGTGAACCGGGTTAAGCGAATCAGGGTGTTACAGAAAGGTGGGAGATTTTTTGATTTACGAATATGATTCTTATTCATATTCTTGGGGATTTTGTGTGAATATGATTCAAAGTTTAGAAGATTGAATTTTTGAGGATTTTGTGTTTTTGCGTCTTACATGGTTTGGAAGGTAAGTGCATATTTACAATCATTTTTTATATATTGTAGGGCTATAACATAAGAGCAACAGTCTTGTTTGATAAAAGTGCAACTCTAGATTGGAGGTGAATATAGTTGTTTGTTAGAATGTGTGTTTATCGCGTGTGTGATAACGAAAGAAAATCGCATGAAAAATGTAAAGAGTAAGGGAAAGGAGTACACCGTGATTTATACTGGTTCACCACCTCGTGGCTAGTCCAGTCCTCCGAGAGACTCTCTCAAAGGTCCTATAAATCTTCAAGCTTCAATGGGTTCTTGAAAAACTAATACAACTCGAGAACTTGAATCACACAAGCCTCAACTTGTTACAACAAGACTTGATCACACAAGTCTTAACAACAACCAACAAGACTTAAATCACACAAGTCTTAGCAACACTCAAACAATATTGAGAATACAACACATGAATGAAAGCTCACACAATTGAGCAAGAAGTGTTGAAATATGAAAGCTCTATGGATGACAAAATCTTTAGCACTCAATAAAATTAGTTTTAACTCTCAAAATAATATATTTGATGAGAAAGATGGAAGCAAGAGTTGAATGTAGAGTAATGAAGGATTGAAGTGCAAGAGATGTATGTTTGATGAAGGAGGGGTGAAAGAAATAAATCCGTTGGAGTCAAAGGAGAAGAGCTCTGAAAGGCACCAGATAAAAATAATCGATTAAAGGAAAAGGAATTAATCGATTAGGATGTTCTGAGACCAAATCCTTCTGCGAAGAGAAGTGCTAATCGATTAATACAAAAAGATTAATCGATTAAAGAAACACGCTGAGAAGGTATTCGTTAGGCAAAAAATATTAATCGATTAAAGAGGGATGCTTTAATCGATTGGCCAAAGACGCTGTGAAAGCTTTTATAAAAAACGCATAAATAATCGATTAAATGAAGAAGATTAATATATTAAAAGAGAAATAATGCGCAAACACAAAAGGCCCAAGTCAGTTGCGAGATGAGAAGCAAAATGGTGTAATGCAGTTTGTTTGTGACAATGAGATCAGGGAGGAGGCTCCTAATCTCGATCAAAATTTTCATATAATGAATTTGAACGGGAGGAAAATTTTGGTGAAAGGGTGAGTCTAAAAATATTTTGTGTGTCAAACGATGTACACGAATAATATTTAAATTATATTTTTCTCACAAAAAAAATTGTGTACCCTTAAAAAATATTTTAAAAGAATTTTTGACATACTATTTTGCAACTGACCCAGTAAATTATTTTTAGACAGAGAAAAATTGATTTTTCAACTGACTCAAAAAATACTCATTTTTATCCCTCAAAATTAATTTGATTATGCAAAAGTGTTTGTCATCCTTACAATAATTGCTAGACTCATTAAAAAGTCTTCGCAATCTTCATTTCACTTCAAAAACTTTGCGTAGGGGAAATCGTTGATTTTTGTCTCCGTAACCCTTTGCTTTTCTCAATACGAGAAATAAATTTTCGCTCGATGTTGATTTTAATTATCTTGTTTGTCATTTATCAAAACCAAAAAAATATTCCAGAATATGTAAAAGGGTTTGAACTCATATCCAACAATCTTAATTATGTGAAGATTAAAGTTATAAAGGGTGATGGTATCATTTTAAAGGGTCTCTAGTGCGTAAACAGGGGGTTAGAATACAACATTATGTATGAAATGAATTTTGGGATGCAGTGGAATCATTGGCGGCGGCGCTCCTCCTAAGCGCTCGACAGCGGCAAGGCACAATTGAGTAGCAATAGAGTCATGTTTTAATTTGTATTTGAAGGGAGGAGAGAAAAGGGGTGGAGGCATGAGGCTATGAAGTAAGGCTTTGTGCATTTGATGGAGGAGAGATGTTGACAAGAAGAAAGAGTGTATGATAGAAGATGAGATTAGTTAAGTCAATTACTCCTATTTATGAGGAGTTTAAGTTTAAACTCTTACCCTAGGAACATGATATATGTTTTTCTCCTAGTTTGATTCTTCTCCCTATATGAAAATGATGTAAGTGGAGTAATTGCCTATACCATTAAATAAAATTAAGTTTTTTTAAAAAATAATTATAACACCTAGAACTCCCATTTTAATAACTTTTAGATAAAAAAGAGTACTCAAAGTATTAATCAATTTTTTCCCCACGTAGGACCTGACCTCACAAGTGAGGAGTGACGACGAGAAAATATAAAATAATTGGGAAAAAAGAATAATTATTAATTTTGGGAGTATTTTCATCAAAAGTCGTATTTTTAAGAGTCTCCGTCTATTTTTAAGACTCTTCGTGTAATTTTTTGCAATGAATAAAGATCTAACGTAAAGTTACTTTTGGATTTACTTTCGGGAAAATTATGGACTGCAAATAAAAAGGGCTATGAAACTTGGAAACCATTTGACCCAATCCCACCCAACAAAGTTAAGTGGTAGTTTGCAGTTTTTTTTGAGTTTCTATATCGTACAACCGGATGTACCTAGAGATAGGTACATCCGGATACTACTCATTCTGAAGTAGAGTAGTACTTATTCTCGCACAAATATAACTATAATGTGGTACTCATTCTAAAAAAATGTAGTACTCATTCTAAAATAATGTAGTACTCATTTTCACAAATTTATTCAATACAATTATAAAATTTATCTACAAATAACGTAATGTACATTCTGAAATAAAATAGTACTCATTCTTAAAAAACTTAATGTTCATTTTCAAATAAATAAAATCCATACCATAAATATATTTTTTTTCTTTTTTCTCTCACACCTGCAGCCCTCTCCTCCGATCAGATCGATCGACTCCTCCAGGTGGGTTTGGGGGTTTTTCATAGAGCGTCTCCCATCTCTCCTCCGGCCTATCAACATCTTCCTCCATCCACCATGCAAATCTCCCTTCCATACAACCGCTTTCTTCCTCCAGATCTGACACAACTCTCCTTCGGCGCAGCTTCTTTCCTCCGACCCGACTAGCTCATCCGATCGACGCCATTTCTTCTTTGATTTGCCGGCTGTATCTAATTTTAGGTATAGCCGGTTGTATGGTATAATTTGCATTTTGTTTCTTTGTGAGGACATCATCATGCGCATGTTAGCCCGAATCTCCCCTTTTACACACTAGCAAGTTTAGCAACTACCACTCTATCCCCACGTCCCCACCAGGCCACCATTCCACCCCATGTGTTTTTTGCACACAATACCTGTCTTCCTCGTGCCCCATCAACATTTTCTCAATTTCTTCGCCCAATTCCAGCTCATTTTTTTGCCTTTGCAAGTAAAAGACAAAACTTTTCTTCTTTTTGATGTGATATATCATATATATATAGAGTACTGTGAATCTATGGTGCAATCAGCATAAAAATTGTGCTGCGCTGGGCGAAGCTTTGAAGGCTGCCCATTCTCGAAAACACCGGACGGAGGGAGGGAGGAGAAGAATGTCGGCGAAAATTGGGGATGAGTCCATTTATTTACATGGAGATTTGGTGCTGCGCGTCATCGAGGCTCGAAAACTTCCCAACATGGACCTGGCTACAGAGCGCCTCCGCCGCTGCTTTGCTTGCGATGCCTGCAGGACGACGGATGACTTCGAGGGGGAGAGCGCCGGGGAGAACCAGGAAATGAAACCCTATCGCCGGGGAATCATTACGAGCGACCCTTACGTCACGGTGTCCGCTCCCCAGACTGCACTTGCTCGGACTCGGGTCATAACCAACTCTCAGAATCCCGTTTGGAATGAGGAATTTCACATCCCCATGGCTCATCCTCTGGTCAATTTGGAGTTCAGGGTTAAGGATGCTGATGTCTTCGGAGCTCAGATTATGGGCAAAGTTAAAATTCCTGCGCAGAGGATTGCCTCGGGAGAACTCATCTCCGGTTGGTTTCCTATAATTGGGCCCTCGGGTAAGCCCCCTAAGCAGGATTCGGCTCTCCGAATTGAAATGAAGTTCACCCCCTTTGAAACCAATCCCTTGTATAATAAGCATGGCATTGCTGGCGATCCTCAGCATTTGGGAGTGAGGCGCACATATTTCCCACTGCGAAAAGGGTCTTTAGTTAAGCTGTACCAAGACGCCCATGTTAGCCATGATGTAAAATTCCCACCCATTGAATTGGATGGGGGCAAAATGTATCAGCAGGGCACTTGTTGGGAGGATATATGCTATGCGATTTCAGAGGCTCATCACTTGATATATATTGTTGGCTGGTCCGTTTTTCACAAGATTAAACTGGTAAGAGAGCCTACTAGGCCACTGCCACGAGGCGGGGATTTGAATCTCGGTGAATTACTTAAGTACAAGTCGCAGGAAGGGGTACGAGTCTTGATACTACCCTGGGATGACAAAACGTCTCATGACAAGTTCCTCATTAACACGGTATGAAAGACAATATGATTTTAAGCAATTAGCAAATCTTTGGTTTTAGACAATATGATTTGTAGGGAATGCCAAACAGAAGATAAACACTTGCTGCTATTGCATTGCCCTTTTTTGCCACTATTCTAAATTGCACTCTCATTGCCTGCCTAAGTTCAAGGTGCAAGGCTGCTGAACGCATTGCTCTGGGTACTCAAAAAGTAGATCATATTCCTGTTTTTCCACCAAAGCGACCAAATGGTGCCCAAGCACCCATATTTGTGTTTTAATGTTTCAAGAGAGAAATTTTAAAGGAAGTTTTCTATTTATCCAATTTTCAAACCTAAGACTAGAGTGCAATTTATAATAGAGCTAAAAAAGGCAATGCAATTTCAACAAGTTCTGGAGTTCATCTTCTTTTTGGCATTTCTCTACATTGAAATAAAAGTTCACTTTCACCACATTAGCATAGTCATAATCGCCAATCTTCTCATTTTCAAGTGTTTTTAAGCACCTTTTTTATATTGATTAAGGACAAAATAATTGCTCCATACAAACGTTGAACATGACATGGAGAGATATGCCTCAACTATGCTTATGATACTAAAACAAAACAAATGGCCAATTCTCATTTTGTCATGTGGGATGAAAAGCTTTACTAGCTTGACTTTTTTTTGGAGGTTGTGGTGGGGTGGGGGGGGGGTGGGGGATAATTGGAATGGTGTTGACCGTGCATCATAGTTATTAAAGGCGCTCGCCTCTCTCGCCTATGGCGCCTCAGGCGACCAGGCGAGCTCTCAGCGCCTCAAGGAAGCCAGGCGAGGCGAGATCCCTAAGGCGCGCCTAAGGCGGTCGCCTTTCTCGCCTCAATCACTGCCTCAGGCATTCGCCTAGCTCGCCTTTCTCGCCTCAATCACTGCCTTAAGGCTCTTAGGGTATACAATGCATAATATTTATTGCTATATATTACTCCATAATATATATACATACACACACACACACACACCACATATATATACATATACATATACATACATACATACATACATACATACATATATAGTATCAATATTATCTGTTTATACATACATACATATATGTGTGCGTGTGCGTGTGTATATGTATATGTATGTATGCATGCATGCATGCATGTTTGCCATTTGACCGCCCGCCTCTCGCCATGCCTCTCGCCATAAAAAAGGTCCTCTCGCCCGCCCCTCGCCACTCGCCATTAATAACTATGCCGTGCATATTTAGGTTTTCTTTTACCCTTTAATCATGCGTTTATAATTCTGTATTAAATTTTAGTGTTCTGCGTAAGCATTGAGGCACCTGATTAGCGCCTAACAAAATCTAGAACAATGTTTTTTGGTGGTCCAATTTGTGACATGTGGACTTTTTCTTCCCTTTTTAAAAATCTTTCTCTTTTCATTGCTAATGAAAGTGATGACTTAGATTNAAAGGTCCTCTCGCCCGCCCCTCGCCACTCGCCATTAATAACTATGCCGTGCATATTTAGGTTTTCTTTTACCCTTTAATCATGCGTTTATAATTCTGTATTAAATTTTAGTGTTCTGCGTAAGCATTGAGGCACCTGATTAGCGCCTAACAAAATCTAGAACAATGTTTTTTGGTGGTCCAATTTGTGACATGTGGACTTTTTCTTCCCTTTTTAAAAATCTTTCTCTTTTCATTGCTAATGAAAGTGATGACTTAGATTAATTGATTGGCTCATATTCAGGTCTTCAACTCCTTGTAAGCAATTGGATTTAATATTTTTTTAAACAAGTGCAAATCTTAAATAGAGCACCACATAAAGTATTACAGACTTTCAGGGAATAAAAGAGGAGAGCAGAAGACAAAATCGTGTTTGAGAAATATTTGCAATGTTTTGTGTACATTTTGAATGTATATGAGTTTTCATCTATAATTTTTGCTGCATGATTTAAATCCTTACATTGAAATCAAGTCGCTAAAAGAAGTAAAGTTTAACCTCTTCATTTGTTTTTTTCTTCGGTGTTATTACTGTTATATTACAATCTTATGTATATTCAATAGAGGCTGGTTATTGGATTATCTTGTTCTGTTTAGAAGGCTATGGTATCGTGAAGAAAAGCTGAATCAGATTTCCTCTTTATTTTATTTGGAAAAGAATACATGGGGAGGATACATTTACTCAGAAATCATGGCATCTGTCATTTTATGCGTACAAGTTACATCTACTAACTTTAGTCAAAACTAACAACATCTAACATTTTACAACCAGCCTTCTTGGGACTAACCAAAACTAACCTTCGAAATGAATCATACTTCTTTTTCTACAAAATCTTACTCTAAAAAATATATACCTCCGACAGTCCTACTTATATTAATTTTCAATTGAGAGTTGAGACCTGCAACTTCTAAATTTGATCCATTATTATTTCTGTTTTTTAATAACTTTTATCTAATGGGAGAAGTATTTATGTAAAAAGGAGGATGGGAACAGCCATGCATGGAAAATGTTAACATATAGGAATCTTGGTAAAACTTGATGTTGTGTTAATATATGTGAAGCTGTCTTGTATCAACATGTTTCACTTAAAATATGAAAGTACTCCATCTGTCCCAAAAATGTCACATTTTGAAAAAATAAAATGTATAAACAAAGTCACACTTTGACAAAATAAGCTAATTTTAAATATAATTTTCCAAAAATTTAGTTACATAGATTACTAAATTGAATGGTTTTTGTAAGCTTATGTAATAATGAATGGATTATGGAGTGGTGTTACTCAACCAATGTTAAGAAATTCTACTATGGTCATTGGAAAAATATGACTCTTTTTTGTGGACCAAAAGAAGTATACTATTGTTGTTGTTGGCTTGCATACTTGGTAGTTATCATGCAGAAGGCCATTTGTGACTGATGTTCTTAAGATATATATTTAATTGGTTCTTCCAAAGTAATGGATATAAATGACACTAATGCAGGCTGGAGTGATGGCAACCCATGACGAGGAGACCAAGAAGTTTTTCAAACACTCATCTGTGATTTGTGTGCTGTCACCACGCTATCCGAGCAGTAAGCTTAGCTACATGAAACAGCATGTAAGTTTTGATCTGGTGATCGATTGTGCGTTATTTGCTACTATAATTTAATTATACTTTGCTTCAAAGTGAATTTGTACTTCTTCCACCCTAAATTATATGATCCACATATTGTTAGCATGTTTTTCAATGAAAGCTAGAAAAACATTGTTTATTTTCCATAAATTGTCCTTTAGTGAGACCAAATATGCTAAATCATTTCAAAAAGGAAGTTAGGAGAAATAAAATGATAGTGGTGTTCAATGTTCATATAAGAAAAGTGGACATTATACTGGGGAAAAGTAAGAGAGAAGTATGAAAAATAAAACCGGACAAAGGAATTATTTAACTGTTGGTGTTCACGGTAGCATGTGTTCTCTAGGCTAGGAGCTGAAAATATATTTGCCAGAAAAAGCTTATATATTCTAATCCTAATCAATCTTCATATACATCGCAACAAATAAAAAAAATTATTCATCACTTCATTGACAAAATGATCTTATCCATATGCATCACCACTAGTTTTGTTAAATGCACTAATCAATTAGCTTGGTATCGTAACTTAATCCAACAAAGTTTCTCACTTCCTCACACGGGTTGTATTGTAACATACTTCGTGTGTATGACACTATGATGGTATGACCTATGTTCACTACTTCGATGACTATGGACCTTTACAAATTTGAGACAGAAACTTTTAGTCTTCTGTATTACGTCGATCACCACAAGTGTAAATGTAGTATTTTATTCCACAACACTACTTATAACTATGGTTTGTGGGAATAGGGTTAAAATTTCGCATTTTAATTCACTTACCACTGGACGATATTGTTATGAAACAATTTTAAGGTGGTCGGTCATGTGAAAGAGACAGTTGAGGTACCATGTTTTCTCAATGTGATATATGAGTGTAATATAGTTGTAGGTGGACGTGGACCCTTCGATGTAGCAATATCTATGCCATTATTTTGCATATACAAAAGTTTTAACCACACCAAGAAGTTATATGAGAAAATGATTGAATCCAAGGTTTGGCAAGAAACAGGGAACCAATTTTCATGTCCGGAAGGTTAGCTATCAAAGCATCCACGTACTTAGACACCTCATGGAGAAGTTCGGAGAATGTCGTAAGGGCCTCCATATGGTGTTTAGAGACCTAGAGAAAACTTATATAACAGGTGGACCACATAAAGTTATTTAGAAGAGCTTGGAGGTTTGAGGATTGTAGTGGTAATAGGATGAAGACAATTTACGGTATGCACATCCAAAGAGAGACATATAACAGGACCCAATTGAGGTCACATGTTTTTTCCTTGTTGAAGTAGGCTTACTTTGCTGCAATTTTGGATGTTATTTCATTATTTCCAGAAGGATCTAGGTGAGTCTCGTGGGTTAAATTATTTGCAAACAACTAAAACTAATAGATGAAAAGAACAAAGAGATGAATACACGGTTTGAAAAGTGGAGGGTGGCATTAGAAACACAATTCTCGTTCATTAGCTACTCCAAGATTGAATACATGTAACTCAACCATGATAGTCAAAGTTCCAAGGGGCGCTCAAGGCGCAAATGTTATTTATCACTTGAGGCACATAAAAATAGTGCTCGGTTAACTCATGGAAGTTATCTACAATTCTATACAAATCTAGAGTGACAAAACATGATATATATTCGATAGAAAATCAAACTAGTGTTACACCATGGATCAAAGCTTAGCTCATACCTCTTTGCTATAATTCTAGATGTTATTTCTAGAGAGGTTCAAGAGAGCATCCCGTGGTGTAAATTATTTGTGGAAAACATTTTACCAATAGTCAACAAGATGGGAAAAAAACAGCAATAGCACCGAGTATAATCCCAACTCTGTCGGGGTCCAGGGGTTGTGAGGGTGGCCGGGTGGGCGTGGGCATTGGAAGCGGGAGTAGTGGAGGCCTGGAGGGTGGGATTGGAAGCTCAATGCTTGCGCATTAGCTGCTCCAAGATTAAATACGCATAATGCAACCAAAGTAGTTAAGTAGTCCTAAGGTGCACTCAAGGCGCAAATGTTCGTTATCACTTGAGGCCCAAAGAAAGCGCTCGCTTGACACATGAAAGTCACATAATACTGAAAATATAATCTACAATTCTATACCAGTCTAGACTCTAGAGTTATCAAACATGATATATGTTCAATATAAAATCACACTAGGGTCACACCAGAGATCAAAGCTTAGCTAATTCCCCTTTGCTATAATTTAGATGTTATTTTCACAGGACCCAGGAAAGCGTCCCATGGTGTAAATTATTTGTAGATTGCACTAATAGTCTAATAGTCAAGAAGAGGTGAGCAGAATTGGAGTTTTGGAGGGTGGCATTTAAAGCTCAATGCTGGTATAATAGCCGCCCCAAGATTGAATACATATAATGCAACCAAGGTAGTAAAAGTCCTAAGGTACAAATGTCCATTATCACTTGAGACGCAGAAAATGCACCAATTTGACTCATGGAAGTCACATAACATTAAAAATATAATCCTCAATTCTATAAAAATCTTGAGTTATTAAACATGATATATATTCGCTATAAAATCAAACTAGGGTTAGATGAGGGATCAAGCAACAAAGTCATAAGGTGCAGTGGTGCACTCAAGGTGCAAATGTCTGTTAAATACAAGTGCTCATAGAAGTTGCATAATATTGAAAATATTATCTACAACCTTATACCAAGCTAGAGGTTATCAAACATGATATATGTTCAATATAAAATCAGACAAGGGTTACACCATGGCTCAAAGCTTAACTCATTCCTCTTCGCTGTACTTTTGGATGCTATTTCCAGAGGGGTCCACTCATGACTAACAACAACAACCCAATTGGATCCCATGAGAGTAGGTTCTGGGGAGGGTGTGTGTATGCCTACCTTGCCCCTATTCAAGAGTAGAAAGGCTGTTTCCAAGCGACCCCAACACTTTTGGGTCCACCCACGACCGTGGTGTTAATTATTTGGAGACAACATTGCACTTGTAGTGGAGAAGAAGGAAGTGGTGAACACAAAGTTGCAGTAGTGGAGGGTGGCATTGGAAGCTGAATGCTTGCACATTAGCTGTTCCAAGACCAAATACATATTACTCTACCAAGGTGATAAAAGCTCTTACTCCTAAGGCGCACTCCAGGCGCAAATGTTGGTTAGCATTTAAGGCGCAAAAAAAGCACTTGCTCAGCTGCTTGACTCATGGAAGTTGCATAGTATTGAAAATATTATCTACAATTATGTTCCAAACTAGAATTCTGAAACATGATATCTATTCCATATAAAATCAGACTAAATCACAAACAAAACCTAACAATCATTAAAACTCAAACTGGACTCAATATTGGGCTGCTAAAAGGTGTCATATAATGAAAAAAGGTAGAAGTAGCATCTAGTGAAGATAAATCAAGTAAAGATGAAGGAACAGAAAAAAAGATGTAAAGATCCAAAAATGCACAAACAGTGAAAGAGAACTAAACTAGTTGTAATCGTGAAGCTAGATAAAGTATATTAACAAATTGACTGCAACTCCTGATGAAAACAAACTAAAGCTAGGACTATAATATGCTGTGTTTGTGCAATTTGTTATTTCCTTTTCTTGGAAAATGGTAAATTGGCTTAATAGTATTCTATTCAATTATGAAGACTTCGGCTTGCCCAGGACAGCCTTGTATATCAAAGTCTTGTTGTTTGCGATTAGCTATCTTAGACCCGGAATAAAATAGATCTGGATATTGTCGGTATCAAGTATAAGTTTCCTTAGCTTGGCTCCAAATTCGCATGCATGTTTGGTTTCAGTGATGTGTAGGATCTACGAAGAAGTTTAGGATTCATGGATTGCCACATTGCATTGCACAGTAATGCATCCATCCTCTCCCATTTGCTTTTCTTGTTTTTGATATTGATAGCATCATCAATCGAGTGCTCGGATTGATTATTGATCTTGACACTTAAATAACATTTTTATAGAAACAACCCATGAATCATAATGGACTCTTAGGACTTGGGATAAAATAAAGAGATTGTCGGTAATAATGATCGGATCAATTGCAAGTGAGGAGAAACCAGAGGTTTGAATGGAGATGTGAGAAAGCACTAAGAAATCAGACCGGAAGAGTGTCAGGAGGCACCATGTGGAAGCTGCCAAGTGGTAGGTCGGTTAATGCTCAAAAAGATTGTACAGGTTTGCTGGATACTTAGAAATACACATGTGGTGGCAGTGTCAACGAGAGATGTATGAAACTATGCAATTTGGGAAATAAATCTGTTTTTCTGTGTGATCTGGCCGTCATGCGCATTGTTGTCAAGTTGTCGCCTAGGCCACGACTAGTCGCCGACTAGTCGTCCGGGCGGTTTTGGGATGACGCTTTGCTCTTCGACTAGCGCCTAGGGCAGACTAGGCGATAAAGCGTGCAAAGCGACGCTTAGTCGCGCGTAGGCGACGCCTAATCGCTGAAAGAAATTGCCCAATTTGACCCAACCCAAGTTGACCCGACCCGACCCAACCCGACCCAAATTTCATTAATATTTAAAATTTCCGATAAAACACGACCTCCTTCGACGCAATCCATCCAATTGACAGTCAATCCAGGGTCGCAACTCTCCTCCATCAGCGAGGTCTTCCAGTTCCAGCAGTTCCCTGACTTCCGTCTACATCTTTAAACATAAGTTTGCTTTATGTGTTATCTTTAAACATAAGTTTGCTTTGGTTATGGTATTTTGTCATATAAATATATTATATATATTCATGTTGGGTTAATGTAGATATATATAATGTTAAAAATTTCAATACTAATTGTGATTTGTCGACTAGTCTATGACTAATCGCCTAGTCCACTAGTCTCCCCGTCACCGACTCGACTCGACTTGTCGGCTTAACAACATGCGAGGGCTTTCAGGCAGTGTGTCGCAATAAGGAGAGGAGTTTGGTGGTAGGTTTAGGTTCTAGTGACCACTACTAGTGAATTATAATCATCCAAAAACAACTATTCATGTTGAACAGTTATTTGTTTTGATACCTTGCAACGTATTTAGATTAAAATGAATTAGTGTGATTATGCTTAAGCTGAAGTATGTCAACCCAATGACATCATATGGATGATGTCAAGCTTCTAGGTTTTTACTGTGCAACAATTCTCCATATTTCTAGATTTTTACTTTACAGCTATTCTCTGCAGTTCTGAATGCAATTAGTGATAGTGTATATTTCTCTACTCAGATATCTCTTCATGTTCTGAGGATTGCCTGTATGGCAGTACTAGCAAACATCTCTTATGCACTGGTTTTTTCTCCCCACATTGTATTATTGATTTATTTATTAATTATTATTGATGATTTCACATTTGCTTGCTTGTTACTTCAGGTTGTCGGAACCATGTTTACCCATCACCAGAAGTGTGTACTCGTGGACACACAGGCTCATGGCAACAATAGAAAAATAACAGCTTTCTTGGGTGGTCTTGATCTCTGTGATGGTCGTTATGATACACCGGAACACCGTTTGTTCCGCGATCTTGATACTGTATACAAAGATGATTTTCATCAGCCTACATTTCCTGTGAGTAGAATCATGCAAATGTTATTTTTGTAAAGTTGGCATAAACAAATACTCTACAACAAAATGGCTGTCTGAAAAATGAATTGGTCAAGTGAAAATATTTATAGCAACTAAACTCTATCTCTTAGAGCACCTCAATATTATAAAGCTAATCTAAGTTCTCTATTGTCATTACAAAGGGTTATGCATTGCACTTGATTCAAATATGGTGCAATTATTAGAACTGAGGAATGAGTGCACATTACATTGTACGCACTCCCTCTGTTCTCCATTCAATTGTCCACTTTATCCAAATCATTTAATGCGAATCAATACCAACTTCTCTGATCAACAAAATATATCAACAAAATATATCCTTATTTATCACTTAGTAAGTTGTGAAAGTTCAATATAGCATAATACAGTCTAAACAGTAGCATTGGTAAGCAATAATTAATGAACAATATATTTGCTACATGGACAGTTAAAAAGGAACTCAAAAACGTCATGAAGGTTGAATTAAATAGGTTCCAGAGTAATAAGTACTAAACTGACTTTGTTACGGTTCCACATTTTACTGGACATGGTTACTAAAAAGGGTGATATTGAGTGGTGGAGTATTATGCAGAGGAGAAAAAATGGCGTGAACCATATAATCATTTCCTTAAAAAGAAAGTGGAACCTTATTAAAAATTGCTTGTTTCCTATTATTTTCAAAATAGGCACTATCTTTCGTACTGAGAACAACTAACGTAAAGTCACATAAATGTGGGTATGGGAGGGTGAGTAGACACATGCTCTTTCCGAAAGACCATCATATCAAAACGACATTGTTTCTACTGAGAACCCATGTTGAAAACCAAATCCTTAAAAGGTGTTTCCTCCAAAATGTCTGATTTCCTATCCACTGTTGCGTGTGATATATATTAGTGAGAAGTTGGGCAATTGTCTATGTTAATATTCATTTGGTAATGATTCGACACTTGTCATGTAACATCGTGATCATAAAATTACAACAATGCAGCAAAATGCCTAAACACAAATTTGGATGCGTTATCACGGATTGGAAATCCTACACTAGATATCATTGATGCTGATAATTGTTGCAATTTGTATTCATTTCTTCATTTATTGCCTATATTAGCCTGGGACCAAGGCTCCAAGAGAGCCATGGCATGACTTGCACTGCAGAGTTGATGGCCCTGCTGCATATGACGTGCTTATAAATTTTGCACAACGTTGGAGGAGAGCAACAAAGTGGAGAGAATTTGCAATACTGAGAAAAAAGATGTCTCAATGGCATGATGATGCAATGATAAAAATTGAGCGCATATCATGGATACTTAGCCCTGCATTTTCTATAACAAAGGAAACAACATTGATTCCTGAAGATAATCCAAAACTTTATGTATCCGAGGAGGGCCAGCCAGATAACTGGCATGTGCAGGTTGTTGAATTTCCTGAGCGTGCATTCAATTGGTGGAATCTATGAACTGCTAAGATTTACTTTTACTCTATGCAGATATTCCGCTCCATTGATTCAGGTTCTGTGAAGGGTTTCCCCAAAAATGTTGACATTGCAACATCACAGGTATAAAAGCCATCTTCACCCTTCACCTCTAATAATCTTAATGCCTTTCCATGTTGCTAACAAATACTCCCTCTATCCCAAAACAAACAACTTATTTTCTTTTTTGGCCCGTCCCAAAATAAAAATATATTTCATTTTTGGCAAGGAATATGTGTTAAACACAAATGACAATTNTTCAATTGGTGGAATCTATGAACTGCTAAGATTTACTTTTACTCTATGCAGATATTCCGCTCCATTGATTCAGGTTCTGTGAAGGGTTTCCCCAAAAATGTTGACATTGCAACATCACAGGTATAAAAGCCATCTTCACCCTTCACCTCTAATAATCTTAATGCCTTTCCATGTTGCTAACAAATACTCCCTCTATCCCAAAACAAACAACTTATTTTCTTTTTTGGCCCGTCCCAAAATAAAAATATATTTCATTTTTGGCAAGGAATATGTGTTAAACACAAATGACAATTCTTGGGGGGGGGGGGGGGGGGGGGGGAATAGAGTTGTCACTCAACACTGAAAAGTTTCTCACAAATTATCCTTACAAAAATGCTCTTGTGTGAACCACGATTTTTAACACACATACAAGGAAATATAAAGAATAGAAGGTAGGAAAAGACTATATTTTAGTTTGACCAACCTCCGTTCCTGTATCCAGTGATTCCAGTCTTTGGACAAACATGTCCGAGATTTCCACTACCTAATACCTATCATCTAAACTTAACGGTGTTTGGAAAAGCTTATAATTTGAGAATTTGAGTACAAAAGCCTCTTAACATCCACTTAAGGATACCACACATTAGAAATTTCTTTCCACTTGGAGGTACCCCCACTCCACGTATACATTGACAATTTTGATTCTTTGAGCACCCACAACACTAAGAGAAAAGACTCCTCTTCTCTTTAACATCCAATACAACAAAAACTACTGGAAAATATTTTCCTCAAGATGGATGCTTGATTAACCAATAGGGAAATGGCAAATAAAAATTCTAAGACTCAAGCAAAGAGGATTCAACTCAGGCATGGAAGGAATGTGATCAAGTAAGATCATTGGCTTGGATATTTGAAGAATTTTCCTTGTGAATGTTCTCAGGAGTCAAAACAATATAGCCATTAAGTTAATATTGTTGGGGGTGAAGCGAGATGGTCAAACTCGAGAATCTTTGTAGGATCGATGTACTTCGTAAAGATTTTGTAACTCATAAGATCGTGACACGGATCATAAGATCCTACACTCATACACACAAGAACAAGAATAACATTACCCCAATGCCTCAAAGGCTCCCGCCCATTGCGGGGTAAGGGGCCGGATGTACGCAACTTGACCCTATCTTTAAAACATAGATGGCTATTTCTAAAACTTTGTTTTGGTTTCAAACACTTGACTTCTTGGTCAACAAGCTTTGATACCATGTCAAGGAATCAATTCAACCAAAAACTCAAGCTTTTAGTTGTAAACATAGGAAAAGTTTTATACTCTAGCACACCCCCTTATGTGTAGGTGTGATTGATCTGAGCTTTGCACGTGAAATTTTAATTACTTTTTTTTAAAAAAAACTAGGTGGCAATGAGGTTCAAACTTGTGACCTCTTGTCAACATGGCTTTGATACCATGTCAAGGAACCAACTCAACCAAAAGCTTGAGCTTGTGGTTGGGTTGGTTCATGCCATGGTATCCAATTCTTGTTGACCGAGTGGTCACGAGTTCGAATCTCACTACCACCCAGTCTAAAAAAAAGTAATGTTCACATGCAAGGCTCGAGCAAAAAAATCCTGCATGCATGCAAGGGTGCGTGTTCAACTATAAAACATTTCCTAGGCCTACAACTATAAGTTTGAGCTTTTGGTTGAGTTGGTTCTTTGACCTAGTATCAAAGCCTCTTTGACCAAGAGGTCATGGGTTCGAACCTCATCACCACCTAGTTTAAAAATAAATTGTTTAAGAAGTAATTAACACTATTTAATTATTTGTTGAGTCTTTTTATTTTTCATATTAATCATTTAATAATTGTTGAATTCCACTTAGTGGGAAGTTAGGGGTCACTTATTCCCACTTAGGCAGTGTTTCGTTCAACTTATTTTTTCTGCTTATTACTTATTCTTATTATAATTAGATCAGACCAGATCAGATCAGAAACAGTTTTAATTATAACTGCAATCAGATCAGATCTTCAAAAAATCAAATCAGATCAGGTGAGGCAAACAGAATGCAGCCTTAGTTAGTGGGAGGTTTAGGGTAAGTTTTCCCACTTTGTTAGTGGGTGGTTATGAGTAAGTTATTACTAGTAGAAGTTAGAGTCTCTTTGTATAAATAGACATCTAGTCATGTGTATTGATTATGGAAGATTGCATTGTATTTTATCATTGGAGATTCTCCTTGGCTTTATTACTTATATGAGTTTAAGATTCTTACTCATATTTTGATAAAGATTTTTCTTTTCTATTTTATGAAGTTTGATGCCGATTTCATAGCAGTTAGTCAATGCAACTTTCGACGCTTATCATGGGTCATCTGGAAACAACCGCTCTATGTTTTAAACATAGAGGTCGGACTGCGTACATCCGACCCCCCTTACCCCGCAGTGTACGGGAGCCGTTGAGGCACTAGGGTAATATTGTTGTTATTTGTTGTTGTAGATGCTGATTTCATAATTTAATAAAAACTTTCCTTCATTTAGTTTCCTGGCCAATCCTGAGTTCTATCATTTGGTATCAGACACATAAGATCATTATGGGTTCCTTCTACACAACTTCAGTTTCTCCATTTTCTCCATTCAATTTCTCATCCAACAGTTATACTCCTTATGAAGTACACCAATTGCTTTACATTGTAGCTCGCCTTGATGTCATTAATTCCAAACACGCAGCATTTGAAATTCAAGGTACGGCTCTTAATCATGGGACACCCTACAAAAGAATCACATCCAGTAAATTCCATCTAGAGGTGAAAGGAAATAAAATTAAAAAACAGAAGCGCAGGATTGCATTCGTTCGTAAGCCCAAACCCAATTCCTTTGCAGCCAACCGATTCAATTCCTCTAGTCCAACAAGTAATTTCCTGCGTGAGGACAAGAGAATTTCAATTGCAACTCAAAGTTGGCCCCTGATTGTGAATGTAATGGTGTTGTCCTCACATTGCCCTTTTCTTGAATCAGACTAGAGCATCTCTCTTGGAGAGCAATCAGCAATGGCAATTCGAGTCGAGGTTGTTCTTCTAATATAAACAGCCTTCGTACAGGATATCTTCTTTCTTGGAGGAAAAAGTGTCAAAAAATAGCCGGATACATTCTTCTCCTCACTTAAGAATCTCATTAGAGCTAACTACAAATCCACAATACTTTATCGTGGAAAGGACATATTGACATAAGTACATCTGCCACAACGATTTCAACGTTTTCTTATAATACCTAGTGCGCTACCATAGCAGCATCTACTTTTCAATGGTGCATGCCTGTTCTCACCAAATTCTTCTCATCTATAAAAATGTGTAATAGAGGAATTACAGAAGTTCTATAATAAATGTAGGTAATAATTCTTTGATGGTTAGGAATTGCTTGTTCATAAATTGGAATTTTCTTTTCAAAGTCTTCTAGCATGAGACCAATGCAATGGGCCACACATGGTGTCCAATATAGCCTTTTTTGCTTCTCCATCAACATTTCCACAACTTTGTAGTTGGTGGCATTGCTCGTCACAATCTCAATGACCTTTTCCTCGCCCACATCTTCAACAACAACATCAATTATCTTAAAGAGCTTGTTAGCCGATTTGACTATATAAAAAGCCTCAAGCGATTTCAAGAAAACACTTCCCTTTGGGAAATTTGCTAAAACAATTGTCAATGTTCTATTTTTTGTATCATTCAAACCATTAGTCATTATAGTGCACCTAGTTTTCTTCCATTTGCTTCTATGTTCATTCACAATGATTTGTATCAAGCTCACTTCTTGTTTCAAATTCTTCATTTCATTCAATGACGGCGTCAATCTAGGCCCATGACTTGCAATTACACCAAATATAATACCAAACTCTTCACTTCTTGACACGTTAAATGCTATGGCATTGATAAAGTAAAACCTAGAAATCGCTTGACTTGCATCCTTTCTCAAACTCTTCTTATACGTATTGTTAATGGTGGCTTGAGTACTCACTCTTTTTCTGAAAAAGGTGTTAGACCCCTCACAAGCATCATCATTGATTTTTCTTTTATGAACATCGTCATAATCATCATCCTCTTCCTCCATTTGCTTTTTCAATATACCAATAGCGACAATATTCCACATTTCTTGCTTTACCTTATCAGTGACACTTTTGCAAGAACCCACATCTCTTTCTATTTCCACCAAGTGATGCTTCATCCGAAAAACACTTCTTATTATTTTGCTACAATAGTTGCATTGTAGTTTTCTATCACTTCCATAAATAGATTTTCTTCTGTGAGTTCTGTCTAGGAGCATTTTTTGCTACTTGTTTGGTAAAATGCATGGATGAATTGGGGATTTGTTGGAATTCTATACCACGAGACTCTATTTTATAGAGTCGAAAATCCTCATGATCGGACATGAACGTTCACGTAGATGTACGCGTACGTTCGCGCGAGGAAGAAGAAAGGCGCGAGAAGTTCCTGCGGCTTTTGGAGTAAATTTTGACGTTATCCACTCGTTGGAGTCCTTTACCGTTTTGGACTCCGATCACGAAAATCTTAAAGATTTTCATAAAGAAACAACGTCCGAAATACCCCCGCTAACCCGGGGGCTGCCGCCCCCGGACCCCGCAGTGAATTTGCAATACCGTTGAACGAGCGCGCACTCCGCACCTCCTAACTCGTTTGTCAACGTCTATTAAAATTCTTGTCCGATCTAAGTAAATCCAATTACACAAAATAAATCGATGACACTAAAATCACCAACAGGATTTACATAAAAGTCTACATAGAAAGTAAAGATAAAGAATAAATAGAGTGGAGTATAAGTGAGGTGGTAGTTGCTCTACAGTAAAACAAAAAATTGCACACTGCAGGACGCCTAGCGTAGATTAAGAAAAAAAATTGCACAAGCAGAATAAGTAAAGAAACTGGGTGGACATGAAAATTGAAAGTAGAAGAAGGCTAGAAGGAAGTCGTGGACTGTCGGACTCTGAGCAGTGAGCATAGAATGGAGGTAATAGCTCAAGAGTATTTGTGCGAGTGTGATGAAATAGAAGGATTATTCATACAAAGAACCCTTCTTCGGAAGAGTTATTTCCGTTTTTGTTAAATCCCAAGAGTTGCGTAGATCGTTGCTTGGATATTCAGGCATGTGATTCTCGTTTCTGACATTTCATGCAAGTCCAGTCGATCTTACTGATGTTATGATCTCACTCCTCGAACCGGACGAGTCGATTTTGTGAATCGCATGTTTCTACGCTCCGGAACGTGATTTTGACTACCTTAGGGTGAGGGGTATTGGTATAGGCCACTTATATTTGAAAAACTAGCTATTGGGCAGTTAAAACTACTAAGTAATCAATTACTAAGACATAGCATTCAATTACGATGTGGTTTCTAGCCGTTGGTGTGCCAAACCAAACTCAAATAATCAAATACTAAACTTAATTTTTCAGCAGCATCCTTAAGTAATCTAGAGTATTACTTAAGCTGGCACTGCTGGCAGTGGAAATCTGGATTCAACAGCATACTTAAGTATTCTATTACTACACGTCTTGAGCAGGCAAAATGAAATTCGGATTTTGAACCATGCCTCGGTAATGTATTACTTCAAGAGGTAATCGATTACTCAAGGTGGTAATTGGATTTTTTTGTTGCGGAGAACATAAGTGATCAAATACTATTGCTATTTGCTACTTATCGATTACCTGTTGCACCAACAAGTAATCAAGCGTAGACAAGGGGTTAAATCCTATGGAGAACGATGGGACAAGTTAAGGTTAACATGGATTTTTAGGAGTCACTATGTGCCGTGCCATATTCTTTAACAAATAATGCTAAGGCCTAAGAAAAACAGTTAACTACAGAAGCTCCTGCCTCGGTCCTTGTCGTGCAAGTATTTTCCCCTTTGAAACAGACTAGATGACTTCGTTGTAGCTCTTGAATATCTTCTAACTTAGCCATGAAGAACTACTTGATTGTCAAAAGTTCATCTCAAATGTGTCATTATCAAATCTTGAGACAATGGGAAAATATCTTGCAATACAAATATCCATGTAAAAACACATCATCCAACAATACGTGGCCATCATTTTTTTCTCTTTCAAATCAATTCCAATCACACATTTAACATTTCTACACTTTTCTTAAACTTTGTGTCCTGTCAAAGTGGATCATTACTTTGGGACGGAGGGAGTGAATAGTTTGCAGATTACTTGGAGCATTGCATAGTCCTCATCCTTTTTATTTTCAATGCAGAACCTAATCTGCGGGAAAAATTTGGTTGTAGACAAAAGCATTGAAAAAGCATATATCCATGCAATAAGATCAGCTCAACATTTCATATATATTGAAAACCAGTATTTTCTTGGGTCATCATATGCTTGGCCATCATACAAAGATGCAGGTAAATTAGAGTCCATTATAACTCATTTTATCTGCTCAACTCTGCAAGTTTTTTAGTTACCTCTTCCCTTAAAAATGCTTCCTTTTTTATTTATCTCTTTCTCAATGTTTGAACATTTATGCATGGAATGCTATTCCTCCAATTCATGTTCTTGCTGTATATTCCATCCAATTTCTATACACATTGCTACTAGGTGCTGATCATTTGATCCCCATGGAGTTGGCACTAAAGATTGTTAGTAAAATTAGAGCCAAGGAAAGATTTGCTGTATACATAGTTGTTCCAATGTGGCCTGAAGGGGATCCCAAGTCAGCTACCACACAAGAAATTCTCTATTGGCAGGTAATTTGATTCTTGTTTCTTGTTGTGAGCTGCTTTCCACCAGGAGATACCAGCATCATATATGATATATTAATGGCGATCAGCTGATCAAAGTTTATTAATTAACTGCTTGGTATCTAAAGATCCCATTTTAATAATTTGAAAGATAGACGAAGAAGAAAGAATGTCGTAATTTGTGTGGTCTCTTTAAGTGAGAATGTACTAGTTTTCAAGAAACATTGTATCAACATCATGAATAACTCTTTGACGATTTGAATCTCTATATTGCATTTTATAGAGCCAGACAATGCAGATGATGTATCAAGTTATTGCAAGGGAGATCAAGTCTATGCAGCTTGATGCACATCCTTTGGACTTCTTGAATTTCTATTGCCTCGCCAACCGGGAAGAAGCTGGTTCAGTGACTCCGTCGCTTAGTGCCACAGATAAGGTAGCCTTCTGAAGAAATTCTTTCAGCTGCTATTTGGAAATTGTTCTTTAGGGTCCGTTTGGGAAGGGAGGAAATGACTTCCAAAAGTTATTTTCCAATGTTTTGGTGTTTTGCTGTTCCAGAATATAATGGAAAAATTGATTTCCGACCAAAGTGAATGGAGAATGAGTTATTTGGTGGGAAATGATTTCAATTTCTGTTTTGGCAAAGGACATATTCCACTCTTCTCCAACTCCTTAGATCGAGACTACCACGTTTTATTATCTGATAACAATAAAAACTACTCCCTCCGGCCCAGAGTATTCGTCCTATTTGATTTTTTCAGTCAAATTGGACGAACATTAACCATCAATTATATTAAATTTGCATTACATATTAATACAATGAAATAAATTTCTGAAAAGTTTTCGCAATATAAATGTAATGAAACCGTTTTTGTACTAATATGCAAAACTCGACGAATACTCTAGGACGGATGTAGTAGTTTTTTTCTTTATTCAAATTTTCAACCAAACACTAGAAAATGGATTTATTATCTAGAAACCATTTTTTGTCTTTTCAAACTGATCCACAGGGTCTGTTTGGGAACTAGAGAAATGATTTCTAGAAAATGACTTCTGGAAAATAAGTTTATTTTTCTAAAGTCATTTTCCTTTTGTGGTGTTTGTCTGAAAATTATCTTTTTTTTTGGCTTAGTTTTGGAAAATGAATATGTGCAATACCTGGTTGAGGATCTTGAACAGATTGTAGAATCATTCTGATGTTTTGCCATTATTCATAAATACAACTCAGCTCCTTCATTTCTTACCCTTCATTTCTTACTTAAAATTTAATTTATGATTAAATAATATGTATACAAAGTGGTAAGCACAAAGCCCAATCTTCAAGCAAAAATTCTTCAAGCAAAAATTAACCATATTCAAGCAATAATTGAGAAAAATAGCCTGCAAATTGAGAAATTAAAAATGGGGGATCACAAATCCAATCCTCTCAATTTCTACATCAAAGCTAACGCCCGCTGCCGAATCTCAACCAAAGCCCCCTCCTCCCTTTAACTCTTCATACATCCTCCGCCCTCAATTTCTCCGTCAAAGCCAAAGCTGGTGCACAACCTATTCCACAGTCGTCCTTGGCGGCGGTGAACAGGGCATTTGCGGTGGCCAAGGAGGGAATTACCTGGGTGGTGGTGAAGAAGAATAGTAGGTGACAGAGTGAGGTGTATGGAGAAGAAGAAGATGATGAGGCGGCACAAATACGAATAAAAAAGAGATGGAGGGAGCCCTGATGTTTGACACGAGGTGCTTATGGAAAGTGTCTTCCAGATTTCATTTATGGAAGACAGATTCCTGGTTTTGATCTTCCTTTTCCATTAACACAGGCTTTCATTTTCCTTTGACTTAAAAATTTCCTATATTACCACAGGAAAATGGGGAAAATGACTGCCAGAAGTCATTAAAATAGGGCCTTAGTGTATTTCATGCTTCAAAAGGTACATTAGAGTTTAACCTAATTATATTAGTGACAGTCTGGAAGCACTTGTTAAATTTGCAATGATATTTGTAGGTAATTGTTTTTACCACTCAGCTTTTTGATTGCCTTTTATTTTTGGTGATGCTATGCGAGGGGAATGAAAGGGCTCAACCTTCTTCCACTAAGCGTATGATGTGTAATTGTGTACGAAGTATATTATTTATGAATAAATGTATTTTTCATAGAATTTTCTGTTCTTATTCTGTGCTTTGTTTCGATAAACATGGATGGCTGTATCTATTTTAATTTCTGCATGGTTTGATGAATTTGAATTACTATTAAACCAGGTTTCAGATGCATATAAGTTTCAGCGATTCATGATATATGTGCATGCGAAAGGAATGATAGTGGACGACGAGTATGTGATTTTGGGATCTGCCAACATAAACCAGCGATCAATGGCTGGCTCAAAAGACACTGAGATAGCTATGGGTGCCTACCAGCCTCAACATACATGGTCAAAAAGGCAGCGACATCCTCGTGGACAGGTTCCATTATTTACTCTAGCATAAATTGACTTAAAATCATAAAGACCATAAAACGAGATAGAGACAAATGGACTAGATAATTTGATTTCAATTATCAAACAGATATTGTTTATTCTACTCTCTAGTTATATTGATACACATTTAATTTAACAAATAAAACTATTCATCTGCAATCAAATTCTGCTAGAATTTGCATAGATGCTATTATATTCTATGTGGAACATATATATGAATGTTGCACAGCAGTACAAGTAGCCAGCCACAGCTGAAATGTGCTTCCGTTTTGTCCTTATAAATCCTGCAGGTCTATGGATACCGAATGTCTTTGTGGGCAGAGCACTTGGGAATGCTGGAAGAATGTTTTAATGAGCCAGGGGAACTGCAGTGTGTGAAGAAAGTGAATGAGGTTGCTCGGGAAAACTGGAGAAAATACACGGACGACACCTTCCATCACTTGCATGGCCATCTTTTGCAGTATCCTCTACTGGTGAATGCGGATGGTAAAGTATGTCCCCTACCTGGGCATGAAAATTTCCCGGATATCGGGGGTAAGGTAATTGGAACTCCCTCCACTACACTTCCCGATGTTCTGACAACGTAATAATTCTTGCATCCCCAACTTCTCTTTCTCTCTTCCCTTTGAGCGAATGTTATATGTTGTGCACTTGGAAATATTATGAGCTGAATGTACTTGGTGCGTTTCTTCTTCTCATTTCCCTACTTGAGGAGAATGTCATATTGGGTTTCAGCCTATGATTGAATGTAGATATACTGATTACACGGACACCGATGAGATAATACAACGTTTAGAGCTTGTTCTCTTGATCTTATTCTTTTTATTTATTCTTATTGGAATTAGATTCGATCTGAAACAATTTTAAATACAACTACAATCACATCATATCAGAAGTTACTCGAATATGATGGAAAAAAAGTTAAAATCATCCATCCACCCTACTCTGGTGTGTTAAAAAAATCGTTGTAGAGTCTATAAAGTGGAGAAAAGGCATCCCTTTCTCTTGGTAGGCATGTAGTTTGGCCTTCCACTCTAGTCATCCATGTGTGTTTTCTATTCTGTTTCTCTTTATATATAGCTTATGGAGTAACTAGTTAGCCAGTAATAATAATTCATTCAGAAAATAAGATACAAGTTTTTCTATGTTTCTATTATTTTCGTTCCTACGGAGTATTTCTTTGTTGCTCCGTCGTCTTCCTCGGCTCTTTAGAAGCTCAATCAAGATAGATGGTTCAAGATAGATCATGACTCTAACTTTCACACCATGATCTGGGTAACCTCCTGAGTCAATCATATCGGGAGGGAGTGTTAATGCATTCGGGTTCTGTGTTGAATTCTCCAATCATTTAATCTTAAAATAAAAGTAAGTTATAGGAACACCTTGTAGAACACAAAAATAAAGTCCAACATCTAATACGATGTTTGACTCAGGCTCTGTTCTGTTCAACTTATTTTTTTGATCTGATCTGATTAGATTTGATTGGATCTGATCTGGTTTGATCTGATTAATTATGATTTGATTTAAAATTCAAATAATAATTTGATTTGACTTTATAATAATAACATTTGAAAATTGTAATGATAATTCATATTATAATATAATCAATATTTTTTATTTTATGATTATTTTTTAATGAAATAAAATTAGTTAATTCATATATTAGAATAATCATTGATATTATAATGTAATAATATTTTTTATTCTATGATTATTTTTTTATGAAATAAGAATATTGATTTAATATTTTAATAATTAGTTCATATATACATTAGAATAAATATTTAATTTATATATACATTAAAAAGTAATTAAATTTAGATAATCAATATAGAGAAGAGATAGTATTTTTATTAAAATATCTCATCCTTATAAAATATTAACGTGTGCTTTGTACTAGAAATTTTTTTTTATGATTAATATAACACCATAGATATATTAGTTATTTCAGTTACACTAAACTATACTCCGTATATGAATATCAAATGTTAATTTTAATTAAGTCGTGATCAAAGTTGGTCAACTCAATGTAGTAAAAGATCAAAACTTTAGAAACTCAAATTACATGTAGCAATAATTTAAAAATAATTTTTCCTACGTCTAATAATTAAGGATTACTTCCTCAGTTTTCTATTTAACTTGTTTCCAAATTTTATTCTTTTTCATTTTTAAGAATAATAATAATAATACTAATAATAATAATAATAATAATAATAATAATTCTTGATTGAGTCTTATTTGATCTGGTCTGTTCTGATTGGATCTGATCTGATCTAATTGGACCTAATTTGATCTGATTGCATTTGATCTGATTTGATGAGATCTGATCTAATCTTATCTGATCTAATTTTAATAAGAATAAGAAAAAAGCTAAATAAATATGTTGAACTGATCGGGGCCTCAAATGACTACTGCGATGTTTGTTTGACTGAATAGAACTTTTTTGGAGAGGTGGCCAAAGAAATAATTATTTACCTTCCAACTATCTTTCTCTACAAAGGCAGCAAGATATTTTTCTCGCCTATGTTTATGGGCCTATTTACGGGTATGGGCCAGAAAAAATCAAAGGAAAATTCAATTCATTGAAATGGGCCTACTCTTATTATAAAAAAATTTAAGTTCCAAAACTCCCCATATACTGAATTCTTTGAAAACACGATTTTTATAATATAATTAATTTTGTAAATAAATTTCTTAACAATTCCACTTGAAAACAATTTTTTTAGGTTTTTATTTAATTTATCACAAAATTGGCAATTCGACTTGAAAAAAAAATAAGTTTTTTTTATTTATCACACAAATTGGCATAACAAAAAATAAATTGAAAAAAAGTTTAAATTTTATATTTCCAGTTTAATTAAATTAATAAAAAGAATACAAATAATAAATAAATGCTCTGAGATTGATATATTGTTTATAATCCACAACCAATTATGAAGATTATAATTATATTATAATAATCTAATAATAATGTAATGTTATTACTATTATTTTTATATCTAACAACTTCCCACTCCTCCAAATGCAGTGTTTCCGTGCAGTAACCCACATTCCAGTGCAGCAACTTCCCACCTGTAAAAAGGAGAACATTTTATTAAATTAATATTTTTCCACTACAGCCCACTCTCCCCTTAATAACTTCCCGCTCCCTTCAAGGTTATAAGTAGACCACAAAACATTCAAATTCAGACCAGTTTTCCATTCATCCTTCTTATTGTTGAGAGAATGAGTAACTTCAGAAAGAAAGTACAAAGGGTATGTGGACAGACTTGGAAGACATTAATGATAGCAAGACTAACTGGGCAATTAAGGTCCAACACATTCCTTGCCGAGACAGTGGAACCAGGACGATGGATGTTGTTTTTCACGACAGATTTCTAGGATGCATATATTCAATTGTTTGGGGTCGGCTCGATCTTGGGTTACAGACTTCACATTGTATGAGAATCGATCTGCCTTTAGTTTAAAAAAATTATAAAAAAAACCATGAAAAAATTGAAAATCAACATATACATGTTTATGAATATAATCATGCATGAACAATTATGGATCTCGAGAATACATAGCAGACTTCATTTTGAAAAACGATCCATCTGCGTCGAGAACATCTTACCATAGATTCAAACAAAAAACGATTGAAAAATTCATTCTTACAATGAATATGTGTATAAATAGATTAAAATATTCTTCGAGCTCAATTTGTCATTGCTCGATCAAAATATAAATCAGAAAAAAAGTATATAAAAATGAAATTAAAATACCTTTTACCCAACTAGATCCTGGGTTGCAGACTTCACTTTCTATAAGAATCGATCTGCCTCAACGTAAAAAATATATAAAATCTGGAAAAAAGTACTCCCTCCGTCCCATAAAGTGCTACCCATTTTGACTAAAGTTGAAATTAAGGGAGAGATTTTGTGTTGACTTTCCAAAACTATCGTTGATGTGATGAGTAAATTATTGAGAAAAAGGTATGATGTGATAGGTAGGGTTTGAAAAAGTAAGGGGTAAAAGTGGTTTTTTAATAGAAATGGGTAAGAGATTGTGGAACACAATTTTTTTAAAATGTGTAAATCTTTTTGGGACGGAAGGAGTATTAAAAAAGTAAAAAATATACATGAAAATATTATAATCATTCATCGAAAAAGGATTGAAAAATTCGTTCTTACAAGAAGTAAGAAATAGAAATTATAACAACTTGCATGGATTGAGATTGAAATGGAAAATTTAAAAAAAAACGATTAAAATAAAAAACAATGTTCATAAAGAGAGAGAGAGAGGGCGGCGGCGGATGTTTAAGGAGGAGGAGGAGAAATGAAAAAGGGATGGGGGAGAGTTTTTATTTGAAGTCCCCTAAAATTTTGGGCTGGGGTGGGTATATTTTGGGCTTTTTTTAAGACCGGGCCCGCTTTTATAGTAGTAGGACTCCTTTTTATTATTTTTTACTTCAAAAGCAAATTTTTGACTTGAGAAATTTGTATTTGGGCCCCTTTTGCATGACTTTTATATTATATTGCTTGGACCAAATTATATCTACCATACTCATCACTATTATATATATTTAGCTCAATAAATTTCTCCACGTTTACAACATACTCCGGATCCTTTTTATAATTTTATAAGTTATTTAAAAAAATTAAAAATAATAGTTACCAAAGAAACAATAGAGAAATTAATGTTACTTCGAATTTGTAGTAAAAATTATACAGTATACATTATTTAGCATTTATAATTTTACATATGTCAATACAGAAAATGACTGTACTGTTCGTCAGAAACAATCGCCGAGTGTCATTATATCAAGTTTGACACGTGAATCTGTTGACAAGTGCAGCACAAAAAATGATGGTATTCTTTTATTTTCCTATTTTGTAACACTTATTAGCTACATATAGTATGATAGTTGGATTAACGTTATGTGTTTCATGTATGTGGTATATCAACTATTAGATTCAAGTAGCGGTGTATCAACACAAGGGATTTTAAGACGAATTTCATTTTCTGACAAAAGTAACGGTAATGAAATATGTTTTAAAAAATGATTATATATTAATTATATGATATATAATTAATATATGATACTCACTCCGTCCCACTCTTTTTGTCCACTTTCATTTTTGCACACCATCTAATGCACTTCTTTAATCCATTTTATCTTATAATTTTTGTATTAAAAAATTATAAAAATTATATATTAATAATCTATATGTTAAGACAAATCAAACAAGATCACACATGACTATTTTTAGACTTACATATTGAGAGAATTTGATGAGTCAAAGTGCTTAGATGAACAGTTCCAAAAGTTAAAACTGGAGAAAAAGAGTGGGACGGAGGTAGTATATAATTAATATATTTCATTTCTCTACAAAATAAATTTCTCGCCGTGCATCGCACGGGTTAGAATCTAATTTACAAAAAAGTTGCAGGTAAACGGGTGGTAAGAAGCTACGCCGTTATCCCCTTTTAATAGAAAACCTGGGAGTGCCTATATTGTACCGTGGTGGTACAAAAACTATGGTATAGCCCGGAACAACCTAGTGTTCATTCTCAAATAACGTCGTGTTCATTCTAAAGTATTATAATATTCATTTTGAATCAAACACAAATTACACAATATTCAAAGTGTTCATTTTAAATCAACTTGATACTCATTCTACAACCCCACCTGGGTCAATTACAAGGGCTGAAAGCTAGGGTTCCGCTGCCATTGTTGCCATCGTCGTTGAATGAGGAAGCTGCCGCAGGTTTGTTTGTAGGGTTATCAATTAGCTCACCCAAGCTACGTGATTCGTCGATCTGCTTCTTCTTCCTTATAATGCGAGATTCATCGACCTCTGTGTGATTCGTTCACTGGACGCTTCTCTTCGTTGCTTCCTCTTCCGATCGCTGGATGTCGCCCTCCAATTGTTGTCTCTTTTGGGCGTTGTTATTTTTCGACAATCGTACGGGAAGAACTGTAAAGTTGGCGGTATGATATACTCCGTAATTACGAAATCCTAGTTCTACTAAAAATAAAATTATGGGCAATTCAATTTTTTTTAGAATTTGTGTAGCATGAATAAACAATATATTTAAAAATTACATGACATTTTTTTTATAAAACAAGACGTGGCAATAACTACATTGAGCCTCAAAATTAAAGTCCAACTTTGACTTCTTTGGTCAACTATGATATTCTTTGACCACAAACTGTGAAAATAATACACGAAGTATTTAATTATAATATAAATTTAATGCATGTACTTGAAATAATTTTAAGATGTAATTTTATATATCAATTTCATAGCATTTATTTTTTTAAAAACTATATTTAATTTGTGGTGAAAAGTAATTCGTATCATAGTTTGACTAAGAAAGTCAAAATGAGACTTTAATTTTGAACAGAGGTAATATTCTCTCCGTCCTAATTTAAATCGTCTGGTGTTGTTTACGAGTTTTGGCATACATTATTTTCAACGCATTTTATTTGAAAATTCGTGCGGGATTAAAAAAAATAAAATTTACATATTTAAAAACAAAACAAAATGATCTAGCTAAAATATATCAAATGTGTAGCTAAAATTCATATATTTTTTTTACAAGAGGTAACAAAAATATATCAATCAACCATTTACACAAGGTAGAAGTAATACTGGTATCTCAATTTGATGGTGATGTTTTGACACCAAACAAATCCAACACTGCAAATAAACGAACAGCTGTGGCAGGGGCATAACAGGCCGGATTTGGAAGACACTGGATCGGCTGATCTGGATGGATGGCTACTGAACTTGGTGGACGGCTGGTGGCTGGACGAAGCTACTGTAGGAAACCTGCAAATAGACGGACGAATGTGGCTGGGGCAGAACAGGCTGAATTTGGACGGTGACGATCGGATGGCATACAATCAAAATCTGGCCTGTTCTGCCCTTGCCACAGCCATCTGTCTATTTGCAGTGTTGGATTTGTTTGGTGTCAAAACATCACCATCAAATTGAGATACTAGTATGACTTCTACCTTGTGTAAATGGTTGATTGATAGTGGTGCTTCTCATCATATCACGGAAACTTTATCTCACTTGTTTAATGTTGAGGAGAAGATACACGGTTGATAAGTAAAAGCAATTCTAATAGAAAAGGTAAATGAGGAGGCATCCTTCATAACTTTTAAATTTAAAATCTCTTTTCTTATATTTTGCATTCGAAACGTGAATGTAAATATAGACGTAAAATATCTTCTTTCAATTTAAAGAGGTATCAATCCCTTTACAAGAGAACGTAAAAGAAAAAAGAAGCAACAAGCAAGCTAACTTCAAACTTTGGATTCCCTTTTCACATATTTTTGCATTCTAATGGAAAGGAAAAAATTTCCACTTTGGAGATAGTATCAATACCCTTTCAAATTTGCCATTTCAAACGGCCCGGTTCCGTGGCCACTGGAATCCGTTCAAATATACTTTTTCATTATTGGTTATCATTTATAATTTAATCATTTCTTTGTAAAGGTAAAAATTATCTTTTTGAGAAAAGTAAATAAAAAATATACCTTCTCATGGGCATATAGGTGGTCAATTTCATAAAGAATGAGCCCCATCCCCGAGAACTCTTTCACACTCAGCTCGATAATTACTGAAATGAAATAAATTTGACTTTAATCAAACAAGTTAACGAGAGAGAGCACTATACAATATATATACCATAGTTGCTTCTCACCCACAAGAATCTAACTCAAAATTTAAAAAGTCATTTAAAATCTGGGTGTATTCAATTCAAACTTTAAAAAATCTTTCTAAATATGATGGTATTCAAAAATTGATGGATTTTTAAAGATTTTAAAAATTGAAAATTGTGGATTTTGATGGATTTTCATGCCTTGGGTATAAATACAAATCCAATTCCCAAATCCAATCAAAAGCCTTGGGATTTTGCCTACTCCTATTCTCGTTCTTCATCTTCTCTCGTCCATGCCTTGTTCTTCTGCCAAGTCACCGGAGCTCGGAACCCCGACGGAAGGCCTTCCTCGGCTCTGCACGCTGCTCTACTGCCGGGGTGCTGTTGGCCACTGCAATCCTATCGCCGAGGAGGTCGTCGTCGTCGCCGAGAAGGTCGTCCTATCGCCGAGGAAGTTGTCTTGTTCGCCGTAAGAAAGCCGGGAGGAAGACGGAGGAGAAAAAAGAAAAGAAAAGAAAAAGAAAAAAGGAAAGAAAACATAGAAAGAACGAAATGGGATGGAAGAAGCGGCGCGGCTAGGATTCATGGGGGAAGAATGGGAAGGAGGAGAAAAGAAAAGAAAAAGAAAAAGAAAAAAGAAAAGAAGAAAAAAAAGAAAAAAGAAAAGAAAAATGTAAATCCTATAAAATCATTTGATAGAATACATTATAATCTAATTAACTCTGCGTAAATTTTAAACAATCCAATAAACTTATAAAATCTATGAATTCTAAAAAAATCTATCAAAATCTTACTCCCTCCCTCATATAATGATCTTCCCGGTTCGCAAAACGAAAAAAAATCCCAAGTTTTTTCAATCTATTTTATTTAAATATTGGTATAGAAATAAAAAATAAAACATACACATTTAAAAACTACATCAAAAGTTCAACAAAACAAGTGGTGACAAGAATATTTTATTTTATCATATAGGCCATGAAAAAACACAAATAAATATAAATTCCCGTGAAGTTGGAATAGTGTTCTAGGAAGATTATTATAGGACGGAGGGAGTATAAAATATAATACATCTAAGGTTCTGTTCCGTACGCCTGATCTGATTGAATCTGATCTGAATTTTTGAAGTTCTGATCTGATCTGACTGGGTCTGATCTGATCTGATTGGGTCTGATCTGATTTGATCTGATCTGATTGGGTCTGATCTGATCTGATCTGATTAAATCTGATCTAATTAAGTCTGATCTGATCTGATCTGATTGGATCTGATTTGATCTGATTAGATCTGATTAGATCTGGTGTAAATGAAATTAAATTTGATTTAAATTAAACTTAAAATTATTACAAAATTTAATAGTTTTAAAGTATTACAATTCATATATACATAAAACAAGTAAAATAAAAAAATCAGCTAATCATTAATATGTTTAATTTTTTTTTTTAAATATTAAACATCTTTTCAATATCACAACTTTTTTAATTTTTGTGAAAACTAAATAATCGGTATTAAAATAAACAAATATTAGAAAATATTGATGCTATTCTACAAAAATATCACATTGTATATACATATTACATAATAATATATTTCATATTACAAATTAAAGATCATATAAAATTTTAAACACTAATATTGCTTTCACCTCTATCAATTTTGTCCTAAATTCACCCTTCTGTATATTATATCATCTTAAAGTTTAAAAGTAAATCCTTTTAAGTATAAAATATTTATAGTTTTGAAAACAAAGTTTTGTATAATTATTTTATAAACAAGTATTTTAAAATAAATCTTTTTAAAGTTTAAAAAATAAAACTTTTAGCTTTAACATTGCTTCCATGCATCATTTCTATCCTACAAGCTAAACAATTATTTAAAATAATGGTTTGTAGTTGAAAATAATAATAATAATAATAATAATAATAATAATAATAATAATAATAATATAAAAACAATAATATTTAAAATTACAACATTAATTAAGATTTAGGTGTGTGTAGCTTTAAATAAAGTAATGTGATTTAATCAAATAATAGTAATTATTATTTAATCCTTGAAAAAAATAAATATTATCTTTTATATTTTTTCTTGATTTGATATTATTGGATTTGATCTGGTCTGATCTAATCTGATTGGATCTGGTCTGATCTGATTGGATCTGATCTAATCTGATTGGATCTGATCTGATCTGATTGAGTCTGATCTGATTTGATTGAGTCTGATATCTGATTAGGTCTGACCTAATCTGATTTTAATAAGAATAAGTAAGAAGTATAAAATCCTCCACCAGTCGACTGAGGAGCTGATGGCGAGTGTAACCAGCGTTTCATGGTCTCCACTCTTCAATAATTCGTCTCTTCTCTTGTTCTCTCGTTCCAATTCACTCTCACCCACCTTGCAATTCAAGGTACCCATCTTCTCCAGACTTATCTACTGGTTAGTATACAGTATTAACACTATTCTCATTTGATCTTCTGATGAAGGGCGTTTGCCATCGGGAATTGGTCTTGCTCCGATCGCGCTCCTCGTCGGATAAAGATATTGACGTTGAAAAAGAATCCAAGACGGAGTTATTGTCTCCTCCATCTAGCAGTGATTCGAGCATTTCGTCATACACTTGGTGTGCATTCCTGGGTGGGATTGGGTTCTTGGAAACTTCCTACTTAACACACGTCAAGCTCTCTGGTTCTGATGCCTTTTGCCATGTTGTTGGTGGCAGCTGCAGCAACATCCTTAACAGCAGCTACTCGTTTGTATTCGGTAATCCCCTTTAGTTCATTTCGTGTTCATTTTCCATGCTATTGCAACCTTTAATCATGTTCTCGCATTTTGAACTCCTGGAGTTCGAATCAATTTTGGTTTGCATGCCACTTTTCATTATGTTCTGATTTTCTGAATCTCCTAAACTTGTGTACCCTCAGGCAGAATACTTCCAAGAGATTATGTTAGCAACTGAATTTCAGACTTCACCTTTATCTTGTGGCAGGAGTTCCACTTCCATTGATGGGTATGGTTGCATATGGATTAGTTGCAGTACTTGGGCTGCAATTAGGAAGAAAGTGGTTGCCACTTGGAGTTGAAGAAGCTAATGCGCAATTTCTTTTACTTGGCACGACGACTTCTATGGCTGCTGCTAGTGCATACTTTTTGTACATCCTAAATACGAAATTCCCTGGGGAGTGGTGTCTATATTGTTTGACATCTTCTTTATTATCCTTCAGTTTATTGTATGTCACTCTAAAGGTATTATTTTTTGACATGCAGTTTGCCGTGTTTGGGATTTATAATTTATGTAAACCATTCTGTGCTACATTTTTCTAAGAACGATTTTGGCTTATGATACAGGGGTTGGGTATCAAGGAAATGAAAAAAGAATTGGTTTTACAGCTATCTGTAGTGCTATTGGTGGTTGTTGCGTTACATAGTTCCTATAATCAGCATGCCCCTCAGCTCACAAGGTTAGCAGGCAGTAACATTTGTCAATTGTCATGTGAAGCTTTAGCTCCTATCAACCTCTTCCACTAGTTAAGTTGGCCTCTTAACATGTTTTGAGTGTGAGTGTTTGTTTAGAAAGACTAATGAAGGCAAGATAACTCTTTAATTCTTTATAGGATTACTTTGAAAGCTTGGATGCTCGATTGTTTGGTGGTTACACATGAATGAGTCCTACACCTATTTGTACTTTGGACACCTAATTGTGTGGAAGGAATCAACTTCATCTAGTGGTAGGGAATGCTTGTCTTGAACACTTCATAATCTTAGGAATCATCACCTCTACACTATTCTAATCTACTCTCCCGTGGGACTAGAGAATTTTATCTGTAAGAAGAGTTATGTACATGGAAGAAAGGTACCTTTGGTCTTCACATCATTCCCACCTATTTAGATATTATTATGTTTCCTAGTTACGCTACTCATCATAGGTTTGAAGAACTCTTCCAAATGGTGTCACAGAAAAGAACACAACAAAAGAGAGAAAATCAAAGGGTGAGCCAGGACAGGAGAAAAAACTTAAATCTTTATTCCAGTATGTGTTAACAGGTTTAGATTGCCTTCTTTTTATGGAGGCATACAATCATAAGGTGATAAGGAAACAAGGATTATTGCCTAATACCGGAAGCCAAATTAATAACTGATCGCTGAATGAAAGAGTCCTAACAAAATAACTAATTGTAAACAATATAGTAGATACTTGAATTAAATAATTCCATCACAAAAGTTGTGCCTCCTTCCTTATCAGCTGCCGTGGCCAAAGGTGGTAGCAGTACCTTCCAATGAATGCATTAGACAATTCCACGTTTTGCTCCCATGTTGCCTTTCACTCAAGTAGTCCATTCCATGCAATCAGGTTATAGCTTTGGGTTGGAACGGAAAGTCTGTGAGTTATGTCTTTTCCAATATTTGGTTATCCAAAATATCAGCGTGAATGCTTTTCATGGAAACTCACTTCCCCCTTTTTTATGGCAAAAAACAATTTTCCTTTCTATAGGAATACTCCATAATTTGAGAAGTTGCACTAGGGTTATGCCTATGAGGTGCAATGGCATGAAGAAAACATCCATAATGCTTTAGCCTTTGTTGATTTAAACAGGGGTTACACTTTAAGGTGCCCGACTTCCTGACTCGCAAAGTACTAAAGTTTAAGCCTTAATGCCTTATTGTATTGAGAAAAATTTGGAGTCGTTGCCCTCTTTAGAGGGGTAGTTTTAAAATATTTTTGGGCTACATGTTTGAAGCTATTGGGCCTTGGTAATTTTTAGACACAAGTCTTGTCCTCTCCTTATTTATTTATTCAAGTGTTTAACCACTGTCTTCTTCATTCCTTCTTTAGGGCTTGTTCTATAATTGAGATGAGATTAGAAAGATTCAGTTCAGATCAAATAGAAACATATACAATGTTATCTGGAATCAAATCAGACCAAACCAGACCATAAAGATTCATATGAGATCAGACCTTAATAAATTGAGATCAAAACCAATCAGATCGCATGAAGAGAACAAGCTCGAGCTTGTTCTCCAAGCTTTAGAGCTTGTTCTCCAAGCTTTAAAGCTTCTTCTCCAAGTTCTTAAAGCTTGTTTTCCAAACTCTTAGAGCTTGTTCTCTTCATCTGATCTCATTGGATTTGATCTGATATTTATTAACGTATAGTTTGATCTAGTTTGGTTTGAAATGGTCTAGTTTGATTTGATTCTAGTTATATTGAAAGTTGTTTCTGATCTAGTCTAATCTGTTTTTAATAAGAATAAGTTGAAGAGGACATGCTTTTAGTCTCCTCCAATCATGGTGTCTCCCTAGGAGCTTGCCTCTTGTTTTTCTATCTTCACCAATAATTGAGTATTTCTCCAACGTCAACCAACAGCCACCAGTTTAATCTCTTTATATCTTTGTAATTGATTTTTTCCCTATTTTTTTTTTAAATTTTCTACAACACCCCTTACCTCTGTCTCATCTTGTTTTCTCTCTTTCTTTTTAATCTCAATGCTCATTCTAAATGCTTGTTAAGTGGCATGGATGAATATGATGAGGGTTGTCATATGTGATATGTTAGGAGATTGATATAAGGGTGAAGTTACAAGTATAAATTAGAGTGTAATGGATGATGCTCTAAGTTTTGAAGATTAATTATTTAGTTGTTAGAATGTTTTATGTTTTTATTATGGGTTTAAATGCATAGTTATCCTTTTATGTCATATTGTCTTAATGCTTTCTCTTTTTTAGAAAACAAGAATGTGTTTGAATGTGTTTTTTATTATCATTATCATAACGATCGCTGTCTCCATCACCATCATTACTATTCTCATTGTTGTTGTTTTTGTTACTTTTATTTAATTTGTTACACCCTCCCCCAGACCCTACTTTTGTGGGATTCAACTGGGTTGTTGTTGTATAAATTCCTGCGTAATAGCCCATTCCGCTTGAAGCCGTCCAGGCTTACACCTCACTGAGTCACTGGATGGCTGATTCAAAGTGTAAAGTGTTCACTATTATAAGGTCCCTCAAAAGCAACATCCTTAAATTAATTTCAATGATTTAAGGGTGACTGAGGTTTCACTTTGGCCATCTGTCTTCAGTTCCAATTTCAAATTTCTACATGCCCAATGCTGTGAACATATATTCTGTGGAATGTCAATTATAATTTGTTGGATATTCAGAACTTTCTTCCAAAATTGATTCTGAGACTTTCCTTAATGGTTGACATTTCATGAAACATGTATAAACGATATGTTAATAATATTTTCTATTTTTAAAACAGTTCTGAGGCAGCTGAGCTGCCATACTTCACCACTGAGATCACAACTCATTCAAGTCCTTATGCTATATCTTTAGCAAAACATCTAAGTTCAGTTGGAGCAAGAATGTATGGAGCTTTCTGGTGTTCACATTGTCAAGACCAGAAACAGGTAACATCATTCTTCAAGAGTGGCCATCATATTTAGCAAGAATGTGTGGTTCCATTTTACCTATTTAGAAGCTTCCAGTCTGTTATGAAACGTTATGCATATCAATATATTGTTACATAGTCTTTTGCTGACCTGCTTATTGTTCAAGAATTTATTTGCCTTTAGAACAGCTCATCCATACTTCTAGTTGTTTTGATTCCTTTACATAGTTATTGTACTTTAAGGCATTAATGATGTCACTGACATACAAATATACAATTATTGGTGTTACCTGTTGTGAGACTTGACAATCTGTTTCAGAGGGGAAAGGTAGAGGATTGAGAATTGTGGTTAGGTCATTGGTCTAGAATATTATCATCATCATCAATATCAATATCAGCATTTTAATTCCAACTAGTTGGGATATATGGCGTTAATTTTTAGAGCATTAGATTTAGGGCCCATTAACATAAGATTTCATGCAAAAGCATTGTGGTAATCTTTTTTGCCAGATGCACTTCAAGTCACAAGCTTCATAAGAAGGAATAGTGGTGTGAAAATTCTAAAACCCTCATCGTCATAGGATATTTCCACACACATGGAAAAAAATCATGAGACGGGGATAAGGTGCATATTTGTTATTGCCATGTTCCATTATGAGATTGGTATTGTAAAATGAAACTGCAATTCATGGAACATGACCAATCTTTAGGCCTGATATATCCTTTGAATTTTAAAGGTGAGAGAGTTTGAGGTTTGAACAGCCAAGAGGATCACCAAAGTGGTGGATCTGTTACGAAGATGCTTGTTGGTAGCAATTACCAGTAATGTCGATCATGTCACGTGTAGGGCGCAGTTCTTGCAGCCCATTGGTAGTCAGTTAATTTCCATAGAAAATTCTTATTAGCTTTGCATCTCATTCCTTTTAAAATAGGACTCTTGTAATAGCTGTATAAGGGTCTATAGTTTAGATTGATAAACACACTTTTGGAGAATTAATTTATTGTCTTTTAACAAACTTGAGTACCTCCCCTCTCTGCCAAGGGCGAGCAGTGCTAATCAATTAACCTGTGCCTTCTTTTGCTAATACCTACTTCTGTCTTATGTCTTCTTTGTTTAAGCCATGAACAAAGGTTTGCGCATGTGCACTTAACAATTTGGTTTCATCATCCAATACGATGGGCACACATAACATCATTATGCATACGAAGAAATCTTTCATCAAAAGCACGACACAAGCGAAGTGGATCTTGGTGGACCTCTAGACCCCCGTTGCCTCTTTGAACACCATAATTTCCAATCTTATAAGCACAGTTTAATTGTTACAGTAGTTTCTTATGTGACTGCGCACTGAGGAATGCTTCAGTGTGAAGGCATAGTAGACCCATGACATGGCTTAAACGCTGTGAATGTTTTTTCTTTGAACAGTACACCACCCTACAACTACAGATGGTTTTCCACTTTTACCCACATCCTACATTCTTGGGGAAGCCCACCTTTGGGCTGATAAACTAAATCTTGTCAAGCTGTCGGTGCTAACACTACATTGTCTACATGGACCACAATTTTTTGAATGGTGCACTTTGGAGAGAATCACTTCAACTGAGCACACTTGAGCAGTAGATAGCCTGAATCACATGCTTGTCTTCCCTCACCTTTTTGGTTTGTCTAACCTAACCAATCTTTCCAGGCATGAAATATTTATTATCCAGCATTTAAAAATGTTATCTTGGGTCGGCCTGTGAGGGAAAAGAGTTATGTAATACTCTGCCCCATAAAAAGATTCCCCGTTTTTTTGTCCCAAAAAAGGTGTTTCTTTCTTTTATAGGAAGAAATTTATCATAAAGACATTAGTAAACATAGAAGAAGAGGTTGATTCTTTCTTTCCTGTTGTGAGGAGGGGAGAGCAATTTGTGACTAGGCTCTCATAATTTGGGTTTTGATTTCAACTATTGATAATTTTATTAATGAATGTAACTCTCATTCTATACTACTTCCAGGAGTCTTGGTTAACTTGTTAATAGAGTTTCTAACCTGTTACAATATTGCTATCATTAATATTAACTAAAATAAAAAATAGTTATAATAGGAAACTCATACTTACACTTCTCATGGACATTAGCCTTTTCCTCAAGCTTGAGGGGAGAGATACATTGCACCAAAACTTTCCACGATCGAATGACATCAAGTGCAAGCCTTCAGTTAGTGGAGTACATGTCTTAAAGAGGCGACCATTAGTATAACCCCACGAAACCTAACACTCTTAAGAGCTAGGCCAATAGATCATTTTCACATACTCCCTCCATCCCGGAGTATTCATCAAATTTTGACTTTTGGAACTGTTCATCTAAGCACTTTGACTCATCAAATTCTCTCAATGTGTAAGCTTAAATATAGTCATGCGTGATCTTGTTTGATTTGTCTTAACATATAGATTATTAATATATAATTTCTATAGTTTTTTAATATACAAATTACAAGATAAAAAGGATTAAAGAAGTGTATTGGATGGTGTGTAAAAATGAAAGTGGACAAATACTCTGGGACGGAGGTAGTAGTTGGATATGGCTCGCTAGTAATGGGATAGACAATTACTATACCATTACTCAGTGACTTGCATGTGTAGCATCAACCATGAATTCTTGGGTTGCAAAATAAATACTGGATTGTTTGATTGTGCTCTTTAGCGGCTCTTGGTAATAGCTTCTTGATGTGCATATGGTAACGACAATAGAGGAGTAGGCGGAGATTGAACTGAACACAGTTGATGAGGAAAGACACAAACAACAACCCAGTACAAAAGTAGGGTCTGGAGAGGGTGTGTGTATGGAGACCTTACCCCTACTAGGAGTACAGAGGTTGCCAGCTCAAGCAACACATAGAGCAAATAGCACGACTTAAAAGATCAAAGAGCAAATACTGAGGATAAGAAAAGCGCAAGAAGACAAAAGTCACACGCACACAAACCGATGTGAGAAACACCCCATGCCTACAAAGCACACCACGAAAAGAATAAAACCACCACCCTGGTCCAAACAACTATCCAACTACTCTAATTATAGATCTCCAGATGTTCCTATATCTGATGTCATATCCTTGTTAAGAGCTAGAAGTCTTTAGTCTTGCTTAATCATCTCCTATTTTTTCCTAGGTCTACCCCTTCCCCCACACCTACTTACTATCATAAGCCTCTGGCATCTCTACATCGGGGTCTCAATGGCACGCCACTTCACGTGACTAAACCATTTCAACCTAGCCTCTCGCAGCTTATCCTCCACAGGTGTCACTACCACACGACTGAATAACCTCATTCTGAATCTTATCCTACCTCGTCTGCCCACACATCTTCTTCAGCATTCACATCTTCTTTGTTGCATGCAGTTGGCGGGTGTGGACTTTTTTAACTACCTAACATTTTGCACCATAAAGCAGAGCTGGTCTGACTACGGACCGATAAAACCTCCCTTTTATCTTTTCTAAAATCTTCTTATTGCACAGAACCCCTGAAGCCAACTTCCACTTTGTGAAGTAGCTTCAATACAGTAAACAACATCCCCATCTATCTCTTCATCCACTTGAATGACTGAACCAAGATACAGAAACTTATATGTCTTAGGCACTGAGTGTGAATCAATTCTAACTTCCACCTTGGATTCGATCTGTCACTCGATCACTAAAACCACACTCCAAATATTTGGTCTTAGTCTTGCTCAGTCTAAAGCCTTTGGATTTTAGAGACCAATGCCACATCTCCATCTTTTCATTGGGTCCCTCGCAAGTCTCATTATTAGTACAATATCATATTATTATCAAGAAATAGCATGCCGGAAGGGACCTCGTCTTGGACACCATGCAATAGAACATCCATCACCACGGAAAATAGGTTGGGACTAAAAGCAGTCCCCTGCTGTAACCCCCACCTTTTCAAGGAAAGGATCAGAGTCACCCATGGCAATCTTCACGCACGAATGTACACAATCAGAACCCTTTTAAACTCAAGACATCTTCATAAGATCTCTCTCGATACTCTGTCATATGCCTTCTTGAGATCAATGAACACCATGTGAAGGTCCTTCTTAATTCTATAATCTTCTATCAACCTCCGCAGGAGGTGAATAGTTGTTGTTGACCAGCCAGCATGAAGCCAAATTAGTTCTCGTAAATACACACCTTCTCCTGCAACCTAGCCTTTATAATACGCTCCATGTTCTGACTAAGAAGATTAAGGAAAGACACAAAGCAACCAATGATGTTGTTGACTCCATTCGAAAACATATCAAATAGCCCAAAACATTTATTGTTGTTTTGTCAATCGTTATTAGCAGGTTGTAATTGATATCCATTTTGTAACATCCTTCGTGAATGTTTTTCCAATGAAATTTGAGGTTGGTAGCCATGACATCTAGACTCGAATCAACATATACTAATTCATCTAGGCAAAATTTACAACTTCAGGATCTTGCCGAGGATATGACATTTGATCCTACATATGAAGATCTAGGATTAGAGTGGTGGGGTAGACCTTTGGGCCTTATTTTGTAGTTTTTTCTAGTGAGTTTTACCTTAGTTTGTACCATTGTGCATGCGTGTGCGTTAGGTCTAGCTGCGAGTGTTGGTGTATGCTTCTTGTTTGGGAGCTCTTCCTTTGTTCGTGCTACTGTGTTTACTTTGTCTTTACTTTGTATGTGCATCTGTGCTTGAGCTGAGGGTCTCTTGGAAAACATTTCCCTTTCAGAGTTCCGAGTAGGGGTCTCTACTTCCAAGTAGGAGCAAGCTCCCGTGTACACACACCTTATTTTTATGTGAATTTACCGGATTTGTTGTTTTTGTTTTTGTTGGTGGTGGTGTTGGTGGTTGTGGTGGTGGTGGTGGTGTTGGTGCTGGAGGGGTGTAATGTTAAGGATGTGTTTGTTGGTCACCAACCAATACCAACAATGTCACGTTCAAGCCATAGTTCTTGCAGCCTAAGAATCCAACTCAATCTATGTTTCTTATTTTAGTCCTCTATGTTTAGCCATTGGGAGGGCTCTTGCACATAGGACAACTGACAACAACAACAACAACCCAGTTGGATTTCACGTGCATAGGAGTTATTCTCAAAATAGAAAACATTTTAGCTAAGAATTGGTCAAGAACTTATTTCTAACTGAAGCAACAGCTCTGGATGCTAAATATTTATGAAAGGGAAGCCCCTGCTGAAATCCTCATATACTATGTTTTTTTTCTGATAAAACTGGCCGACATCTGAAGTTTTCCATACATTGTACCCTTCATTTTGTAGATGTTTGGGAAAGAAGCAGCAGCTCTATTGAACTATGTAGAATGCTTTCCTACTGGGATGAAGAAAGGAACCACTATGGCTTTGGAATGTGAACTTGTTAAGATTGAGGGGTTTCCAATGTGGGTGATTAATGGACAGGTGACCTTCTTTTGCCACACAATTCTTATCGGCATCGACATTTGTTCCTTGTACCTTGTACATTTTCCTGTACCTTTATTAATGCAACGTCTCTTTTTTTGCGTTATTTTTTTCTTCCAACATTCAATTTCAATGGGTTATTTCAAGATTCAAATTGCTTTTCAGGTTCAAAATTTCAGACATGCTTGTTTCACACATGCAACTTTTTTTTTCTTTCTTGCAGGTTCTAAATGGAGAGCAGAAACTATCTGAACTGGCTAAGGTGTCAGGATTCCAATATGATGAATCAAGTTTAGCTAACTGACCTTGATTGCTGGGACTAACCAAACCTTGAGAACTGCTCTATATACCTATAGTAGCTGTGGGGAAGCGGATTCCCGTCTAAAGTATAGTACTCTTTGCAAGTTTGTTTTAATCTACTCCGTATTTAGAAAGACAGCAATAATGACGGATCGGAGATAGAGTTTCGGTGTGGTGTTATGGACTTGGTGCCCTTGTAGTTAAAAAATTGCCATGGCAGTTTTCTTTGGTGCCCTCATGTAGAAACAAAAAAGAATATGTAGAAAGGTGCCTTGCAAATTGTGTGTTTTGAGGATAAAACTGGTAGTGACATGGAGTGTTATGTACATTAGGCTTGGTGAATAAAATAATAAGCATGCCCAATATTAGTGAGATACGATGGTAGACACATGAGTAGGCCGAGAGGCCTATTAGCCTACATAATGCTCTGTATTAAGGTTTTGTTTTTTTCTTTTGAACTTATTTGAATTGATCTAATCTGATTATAGTCCAATTTAAAATTATTATTGATTCGAATTGATCTGATTTTGACAAGCACAAGTATAAATAGAAAAAAAAAGTTGAAAAGAATCGGTTTAAAGTCTATAGAGGCTATTTAGAGGGTTGATTGACGTGATTGCATTGAGTCTTTACTCCCGCCTTGCCCGCTATCAATCAATGCTATTAATCGATCGAGTCGTTACTCCCATGACGTCTGCAGTCAGCCAGTCATGATTAGCCCCTCACCCCTCCCTCATTTAAATAGGCTTCCTAGAATGAGTGAAAGCTCAATTCAATATTACTATTATGACTTGTGCGTGCTTCTTTGCATGACCTAAAGTTGATAAAAATTTTTGTGAAACTTTCAAAATAATTTTTTTTTTTTGAAAAAAAAAATTATCAATATAATAAGCACTTGTTCACCACCTTTATAAAAAGACCGATCATTTAAAATATTGTGCCCTTAGGTCATCATAGCTGAAGGGACTCTCATCTTGTGCAAAAAAGGTTGAGCTCTTTGGAATTTCAAGACAGCCCACACCAAGTGTCGAAGCCCAATCTCCGGAAACAAAGCTCTCGTAGTATACAACATGGTGTTACCCGTTTGCCACATGAGAAAATTACTTAGCCTGTTCGCCCCCGCAGTCCGGACTATAATATCCGGCTCCCGCCCCAACTCCGTCCACATCATATTCCTCTCCATGTCCGCCACCGTCACATCCCTCGAGCTCTCCGACCCGTGTCTCTTCTCCAGCAGGCAACACGCCCGGACCATCTCGTCCGAAGACGCATAGGCCACGCAGACAAAGAGGACCATGCCCGAATTCGAACCCGTGGCATCCATCGCTTTCTCTGCAGCGGCCCGGAGCGGTTCCTCGAGTAAGCTAAGGTTCCCGAGGAACACTACCCGAACTCCGTACTTGTTCAAGACATTCTCGTACTTGAGCATCGCTTCGACCTTCCCCGACATCAAGTCCATTAGGAACCGGACTTCCCCGGGATCTCTGTTGAAATTGTCGATGCTGAAGATGAACAGGGTCACGCGTTTCACTCCCAGTTCGTGGCAGTACTTGAGCATGCACATTAGGGCTAGAAATCCGGCCCTGTACCCCGTTTCATTTGGGAGTTTCTTCTTCTTGGCGAACCTTCGGTTCCCGTCGAGAATGAACGCCACGTGTTCGGGAACGACTCCCGCGGATAGAACATGAAACACCAACCTTCTCAGGCCTCTGAATATACTCCCAAAGAGCAGCCCTGCTATCTTTTGGATTATTCTGATGTCCATTTCCTTGGATTGATTATTGGCATTGGTGGAGATACTGAAATGGTATTTGGATTGATGGGTGGCAGATTAAATTAGTAAAAACATGTGCTTTGCATGGGGAGAAATTGTGGGCAGGAAATAAGTAACGTAGTTCCATTTGTTTCATAATTCAGTCACTGACAAAGCATGATTATATAATTAAGAATAAATTCTCAAAATGCCCATTTCTATTCAAGTGTTTTCTCAAATTGATTCTCAATAAGTAATAATTACCAACGTGGTACTTTGTAATGAAGATGTATTAGGTTTTTCCCATAAATAATTAACTTAAAATAATAATGTAAAAAAATATTAAAATATACAAACCAATGTAAAAATAGTGCTTCTTTATTTTATAACACATGCCTTATTGTTATCACTTTTCCATCACACTCATTGTATAACCATACATTACCCTATCATTATACTATTATTTTGGTATTAAAAGACTTAAGACTCATATTTTGGTATTTTAATAATTTTTTACCTATATCTAGGGATATTTCTTAAAATATACTCCCTCCGTCCCAATGTCTTTGTCCACCTACCTTTTGGCACACCATCCAATGCACTTTTTTAATCCATTTTATCTTGTAATTTGTATATTAAAAAATTATAGAAATTATATATTAATAATCTATATGTTAAGACAAATTAAACAAGATCACACGTGACTATATTTAGGTTTATACATTGAGAGAATTTGATGAGTCAAAGTGCTTAGATGAACAGTTCCAAAAGTCAAAAGTGGACAAAGACAGTGGGACGGAGGTAGTAATTCTTAATCCAAAAATAGCAAGTGCTCTTTACCCCCTATACGTATATATGGTACACAGATTGGAATGTCTAAATAACTTGAATAACATTATTGATTATTTGTCTCGCTTCACTTTGCTGTCAAATTTTGTATTATGCATTGTATGATTTAAAAAGAAATTAAATAAATATTGAAATTCCAATGATTGTTATCTAATGCATTAATTCAAACAAAAAATAATACAAAAAATATTAGCAATCTTATGATTATGAATGGAAATTTATATATACATTTGGTAAACTCTCAAGCAATTCTTTTTTCCTTTATGTTTGAATAAGAAACTATTCAAGCCTTTGAAAATATTTTTTAAATTTGTTTGATTTAAACAGTTGATCATTTAAAAAATAATCTAGACACTTCTTGTTTTATAGAATACTCCGTATTAATTTAGAGCTACTCCTTATTTTTCATTTTATTTTTTATATTCAAATAAATAAAATAATATAATTCATTTAATCATATTACAAATAGAAATAAAATTTTATTTTAATCGATTACATTATATAATTTACTTAAATCAATTATCATATCCTAAAAGCTAATAAAAATAATACTCCCTCCGTCCCTAAATAAACTTCCCTTTTTGACTTTTTAAGGATTTTAAGGGAGAGATTTTTTTGTGCTGACTTTCCAAAAATGCCCTTGATGTGATGTGTAAAAGTAAGATGTGACATGTAGATTATTAGTAAAAAGGTATGATGTGATAGGTAGGGTATGAAAAAGTAAGGGGTAAAAGAGGGTTTTTAATGGAAAAGAGAAGTTTATTTGGGGACAAAAAAACGAACGGGGAATAAATAAGATTGTTCTAGATTTGGATTAAATAAAAAATACTCTAAAAATAAAAAAAACTAAAATCATATAAAATTAATGAAATAAATAAGATAATCAATAGAAATTAACTTGAAACTGGTAAGAAAAAATACAAATATACAAAGGGGTAGATTTTAACATTTTACGTACTATGCAGAGTATTAGTGTACCACTTCTTATTTTTATAAAAATTATTTAGAATAATTCAAACTTTTTTTGTTCTTTCAAAAAATACAAAGTAGTACATTAATACTTTGTATAGTGCGTAAAATATTATAACTCTTCACTCATATTTTTATATTATTTTTACTAATTTCAATATAATTTCTATTGATTATCATATTTATTTCATTAATTTTGTAAAATTTTAGTTTTTTATCAAACACCAGAAGAATCTTTAAAAAAAAGGAAATGATGGAAGTAACAAATTATTTTAAAAGTTCAAATGAAAATTTCAGAAAAATGTTTTAAAAAACAAAAAATAATAAAAAATAATCATAACTTTTATTTTGTTGCGCAAAACAGGCCGTTTCCATTAACCCATAGTTAGTAACTTAACGGCGACCCAATACTCGTAAATTTTAGTAAAATTGGGATTATTATACATGACATTAAAAAATATATTTATTTTTCAAAGACCAAATAAAATTGAGATTTTTTTTGGACAACTTTTCCTTTATTGAATGCGTTTTTATTTTATTAAAAAAAAACTTAGTAACTTAAAGCATAAAATTTTGGCTTGCTTCTTCTAAAAACAAAAGCCACCCGGCCAAACACATTCACTCTACCTTCTTGCCCCTTTGCAGAAGATATTGGCATATTGCCAAAGGATAAAACACCCTAAAACCCTAATCAATAACTGAATTCTTCGAGTACCCATCTCAGGAATTGGTAGAATTGGAAGCAGAAATGGGGAAGCTGCCACCGTCAGTGAGATCACCAGTCCAGTACGGTCTAACCAGTCTGAAGAAAACAGCACCCTTTTCCCCAAAGCCCCAAATAATCCCCAAGAAGAAGCCCGAAGTGAAGAGTCCTCACTCACAGTCTCAGCCCCCCCTCATCACCTTCACTTCCCCTAGTCTCTCAGAAGCCAAAACCCTTTTCACCTCTCTCATTTCCAGTCGCAAGAAGACCACCCCTTTTGACCTCAGATTCTACAACACAGTCCTTCAGTCCTTCTCTTCGGTTTCAACCCTCCAAGATGCAATCTTTTTCTTGAATCACATGGTCAAGACCCACCCGCCATTTTTGCCCGAACGGTCTACCTATCATGTTCTTCTTATCCAGGCTTGTAAATCAGCAGAAGAATCTTTGTCCCCGGTGTACCAGGTGCTCAATTTGATGAATACCAATGGGTTCCCCCCTAATACGTTCTCAATTGATATTGCTGCTAGGACCCTTTGCGTCTCGGGCCACGAAGATCATGCCGTTGAACTGGTGAAGGATCTTTGTAGTAAGAATTCGCCTCCTGATTCAAATACTTACAATTTTCTTGTAAAGCATTTATCCAAGAATAGGTCAGTGAGCAACATGAATGCTTTTGTTAATGATATGAAGATGAAGTTCGGCATAAAGCCAGATCTGGTCACTTATACCATTATGATAGATAATGTTTGTAATAAAAAGAATATCCGGGAGGCAACACGGTTGTTGGATGTTTTGAGCAAGGAAGGTTACAAACCTGATAGCTATGTGTATAATACAATTATGAAGGGGTATTGTATGTTGAGCACGGGGGGTGAGGTGTTGGGTGTTTATAAGAAGATGCTGGATGAAGGTGTGAAACCTGACCTTGTGACATATAATACGTTGATTTATGGGCTCTCTAAGTCCGGAATGGTTCAGCAGGCAAAGAAATTTTTGAGGGTTATGGCTGAAAATGGTCATGTTCCAGATGCTGTCACGTACACTTCATTGATGAATGGGATGTCTCGCGAGGGGGATGCCAAGGGAGCATTATCTTTGCTTGAGGAGATGGAATTGAAAGGATGTGAACCGAATTCTTGTACGTATAGTACGTTACTTCACGG